GTTAAAACAAATCAATTGCATGTTTTTTACTGATAAAGGGGGTTGTATAACACCTATATATCATCTATACGTCTTTTTAGAAAATGTTAACACTTTTCAAATGAATTACTACATAATTTAATTTCAAGCACTTTTACTTATTTTAAATACATAATTCTTGAGACTTTTTCATAATGATTAAGCTCTGGGTAACCCACAACCTGGCCATGGAACATTCCAGCCGAAGCTTCCACTACAATATTTGCATTCTAGCGTACCACCAAACAACTCTTATGGATTGCATTTTGTTGGTGGTCATTATTATTGTCCATTCCCTATCTCCCATGATATAGAGATTTGCCATATACCGCCACTAATCCGACTGATTTAGACAAAAAGAGATACTGCCTTTTTCGTTGTTACAAAATAAACAACCAAACTCTGCAGTTGCTATTCCGTACATGCGTGACGACGGTTCGTGCAGTTGTCAGATCAGCGGAGAATTGTGTTTACCGCAAACGCACGTCCACTTTGATTGCCAATTTGTCACGGCAATGGGCAGTGATCAGATAGTCTTCATCTCTCCTCCTTCTCAGATCCGCTTGTCAGTACGTCCGCACCCCAGCATGCATTTCAGATGTGATGAGAGCAGCGCCGCCCTGTAGTGTGGGCTGACTGGCAAAATAACTCAGACTGCGGCTAAAGCACGGCCCTGCCAATGCAACACCTCCATTTGGTTTTTAATGACTAGTTTAGGGAAAATGCTGACAAACGTCCTCATAAAGACTATTTTAAAGTAGACATGTTATGCAAAATAATTTTTTTGAGCTTCGTGCTATGTAACATTGATCAAAATCCAGCCCCTCAGCGCATTGAACTGTCCTTTGTAGCTGTATTTTACAGTGTATGCACAACTTTGAGAGTGCTGGAGTCGTGCTCAGAGCCTATGAATCACAACAAATATCAAACATGTTTGATGACCCCATGACCAGCAGTTGTGAGCTTATTGGGAGGTGAAAATTGCAGCTCTTAACCCCCCGCACACTGTACGAGTCACATGCACAGAAGACACAGAGCAATCTAAAAATAGGGGTGCAACAAAAAATCTTGACAAAATTGGGTCTAAAATTGCAGAGTGTATGTCCAGCATAAGGGAGAGGGAACCCAGGCAAGCATCAACGTCTACTTATCAATCCAAGCAAAAGAGCCTCATGAGTTTCTGTGCCATGTTCATCCAAAATGGTCAGATTGGATTAAACAGTGCGTAACTAGATATTGAATGGTTATGGAAATCTCTGTATCACTCCACAGAAAGTCCTCGACTGAATAGAGCCCTCATGTTGGATCATGGGTTACTTCACCTCTGTCTGCTTGTCTAAACCTGTGTCTTCACTCCTGTGGCACCTGTGTTATGCTTCCTTAGCTCTTGTGCTGCTTTTGTCGCCCCTGCACCATGTTTATCTTTGCGCCTTCCCCAATACTCGCCGGTGCGATCCATAGTCCCTGTCTCTAGCTGACCGCCACTTCCCCGCTTGCCTGTTTCCCTGATTGTTAAATCAATGCTTGAAGTGTGTGAGCAGGGTGTCGCTGCTTCAGAGCACTGCTTTACTCAGGGCCTCCTCATCCAAGAAGCGAGAGAGGGTATAGGAAAGTGTGACGCCAATTTTCAAATCCACTATTTGTGCCACTATAGCTGTACAAGCATGCATATGTTTGAATCCAAGGTGTCCAAATCTTTTTCACTGTTTTTTTCAGATAGATGTGACAGCTCACTAAGGTATGACAGAGCCTCATCAAGACTTGGAACATTCATTTTTGGGCCATATCTAAGTGCTCTGTAATTTGACAAACGCTGTAATGTACGCTAGACTGTACAAAATATTGGACAGTGTGAGGAGTCGCTAATCTACTCCCAGACTCGATATTTGAAATTGCATATTTGTCTGTATCGTAGCCAATGAGTAATGAGAACTATCACCGTGGTCAGGAGAGTACCCATTAATAGGGCTAGATTGGACTATATCATCGAAACAAAAACTTTGACTAGGGCTGGGTATAATATGTATCTCAATATGTATGATACAATATCTAGATACAGGGGACTTTCTATGGTACTTATGCTCTGGGTCAGTAAATAATACGTTTGGCCTCTCATCTAATGTTATGCCACATTTTATCAAAACACAACACTAGAATTTGATTTGCATTTAATTTAGATAAAGTGATCTTTAAGTCAAACAACAAAACAACGAACATACATGATTTTTGTAACATAACAAAAATAGGAAAAAATCTATTTAAAAATACCAATTTTTGTCTAGAAATATTTTTTTTACCCCATAACTTTGACAAAAACAAAGCTTAAGCAATTGCACTCAAGAAGATAGAGACAAGATATTTTAATAATTTGATGTTTAATTAGAAATACTTCCATGTCATTCTGTAGTAATTATAGCTCTATCAGAGTCAGAGGTTGGGTCCAAGTATAGTATAGTATAGTATAGTATAGTAACGGTTTCAATAATAGATTAGTTACAATGAATTGTTTTACGTTACAGCCTTCGTCACATAATTCTGCCCTGCCCACTATTTCTTAATGGGCTTTCAGATTCAGTTTATTTGCCATTTGCAGTTAAAAAAAACCACATTGGAATACATTAGCAAAAAGTCTCCAGTGTGCACAGACAAATACAGACATAAAACAACATTAAAAGACAGAAATTAAACAAATAAAACATTAAACAAATGTCACTGTGAAATCGATCGACTAAAACAGTTTCAGTGGCTTTGAGTCTTTGAACATTTAAATTGAGATATAGAGAAAGCTATCAACAATATAGCTGTTTGACTAGATTCATGTTCAGCAGTGGATGGATAAAGGAGGAGAGATAAAGAGATGGAAATAAACAAACGGAGAGGGATTGTGCTGTTGGTGTGCGTGTGTGCAGCGATTCCGTCTCTCCATCTGTCCCATCTCAACCTGAGCGGAGCACAAGCAGCAGCACAAACCCAGACTACACCATCTGTCGCACTGCAGTCTGCTCCTCATCTTCACTTCTCTTAAGTTTTACATTTCTTCTCGGACACGGTCAGAGACGCTTTTCCATACAAGCAAATGCATGTGAAAAATACAATCTTTACCGCTTTTATTACACCAAAAACACATAACACACAAACAAAGCGCTCAAATCTCTTTCAATCCAAATGATCAAGAGAGACATTTTGAATAGATTTTTGGCAGCAGCAAAAAAGAAAGAAAGGAATGGATTTTTTTTAGAATTGGCCAATTGTCATGGACTGGTCTCAAAGCACATTGGGTATTTACACCTTCAAACACTCAAAGCTGGAGAACTTTGAAACCACAAAAATAAGTACCATACCTTCCTCGATAAATGATCTGATTTGTTCACAAAATGTTACTTAAGATAAGATAAGATCAGATAAGATAGACTTTATTGATCTCACACAGGAGAAATGTACATGTCACATCTGGCATGGATAGGATCACTCAAGATTTGTGTAAAAGAAAGAAATGTGCAAACATGTTAAATGCAGGATATATTATGTATAATAAAAAGTGGCAATTAAAGAAACAGTGGCAATAGTGGTGCAGGTTTTAAGGACTCTTTCTGTTACTACATCTTAAATTTAGGCGTTTGTATCTGGTATAAGTAAGCCCAGAGGACATTCAGTACCACGCTTTAAGGACATTTCTCGTAAACATTCCCACTATGGCACCATTCGTATCCTTCATCCAGGTGGACTATACTGATAAAGAATACTGCACTGAAAGAAAGCGATTGTGCCCAGATGCCGCTGTAGGCACTCTATTGTAAACAAGTCAACATCCATGTGTCCATTACAACTTGCTTTCAGAGCCCTTCTCACTTGTTTCTGTATTCATTAAGGCGGGAAAGACCTGCTCGAAGCCTGTTAAGGAAAACCCTTTTGTTTTTTGTCCCAGTCTTTCTTCAAGCTGCTTTCATTCATTATAGGTTAGATGCAGTTTTGGAGGTTTAGACATGGCACACCAATGTCCACATATACTTACAATGTACGAGGGGTTAGATAAACATGAACAATGTTATTAAGATGGAGAGAATTATCAATAACATTAGGTTGCAGCAAAGCACTTGGGTGCAGACTAACAACATATCATGGAAAAATAACAGTAACATTATATTTTCTACTGCAAAAAATATAAAAATTGCATGTTTTTGAATGATATATTTAGACAATTTAGGACAGTGCCATGATTTAGATTAAGGCAACTGTGCAAAGTTAATTATTTTTTATATGGTATATATACGATAAAGAGAAGCCCTCTCACCTCTCTCCCATCACTATGTGCTGAAATATGTTTATAATAAATATAACCCCATTCCTTTATTTCTGGAACAATAGTATGTCTGTGTAGTGTCAGGCCTATACACACTCTCTCTCTTGCCGTCGCCTTGAGGAAATCTGCCATCAATGGAAACCTGAGTCCCTCCGCTCTGTTGTTTTGATGCACACGTATTAGCCATTCACACGGGATCATTGGCACCGCCGGCCCAGGTCATCGCACACAACATTTTGTCTTCCCCAGCGAAGCGTGGATGCCAGGTCAGAACAAGAAAGGACGCCAGATGTATTCATTCACTTTCCATTGTGCTTGGATCGGCTGTTTGGTTGACTGCATGATAATGAGCGCAGTGTTATTACAGAGCCACCCCTTTCGACATCAGTCCGTCGGGATCAAATAAAGGCTTTTAATTGCTTTGCTTCGTATTAAAATCCCTATCGTGGGCGCGGATAGGCTGCCCTTGGCGTGCCTGAGCATAAAAGATTGTTTGAAAGGCCACCGTATAGCATCTGGAAGAGGGAAAAAGTGTTTTCCATTGGTCCTTTGTCAATTATGTTTGTGTAGTGAAAGCCAGCTTCCAGAATGTGTAATGATAAAATGTAATATTAATGAAAATGTGAGAGCAGTGGATTATACGCTAATTAAATGTGCTTTTTATTCATCTGTCTGTTTGCAGGACTGAGTCTGTTGCAGAGAAAATGCTGACCAACTGGTTTACATTTCTCCTCTATAAGTTTCTAAAGGTAATTTCTCATGTTTCCATTCAGATAATAAACACACCATAATTGATGTTTTATCATTTATATGATTATCATTGATGTACTATTTATGTACTATGCTCAAAATATCATAATATTATTATGAGTAAGTAATTTTGAGAGTGTGTTTTATTCCCTATTATTCCCTATTATTAAACACTACCCATATTCACAAAGAAATGTAACATTGATATTAATATTAATTAACAATAAAAAATAATATTAATTAATTAATCAATCTATTAATGGTATGACGATTGCACATAATGTTACGACACACGTCGTAAACATTACTTATGGGCTTCGAGCTCTTTGTCTAAACTTACTATAAATAGTTTGGTTGTTCTGATCATTAGAGCAATTGACCAGTCTCAAAATATTAAGAATTATAAGATCGCAAGATAGCTTTGGTCTTTTAAAGATCATACTATTGTTTTGTGTGTGGTGATAAACTTTGACACAAACAAAACTCAACTTCTAAATTCAGAAACCCAAGATTAATAACGGTATTTTACCCAGAAAATTTCTGGGATAAAATGCAAATATGACGTCCATTTTTTTCTCACAAGACACATAATTGTCCTTGAATGTTTACACACTCAGGCAGATATTTCAATTTATGTTTTTGTCCATATTTTGGAGACTATGAATAATAATGCAACACATTTTTCCAGCTTAAAATAAATGGTTGTGCAGCCATTTATTCTCAAATGTACATGTTTTCTATTTTCAAACGATTATGACAACCTCAAACTCCTCTGACCCTAATTACAGTTTACCGCCCACAGTTCTCAATTGTGTTTATTGCCCTGTTTTACAGCATGGAGTAATTTTGAAAGTAAAAAACATGTTTGTTTAACAGTAAATAGGTTCAAACAACCAAAACTAAAACTACCTAAATCTCTAGGGTATCTCTGATTTTACAAACTTTATAAACACAACTTTATGTAATGGCAAAACATAGTTTTCCATAATTCTTAGTTAATGAAGCAGATGTGAACGAAATTTAAGTTTTTTACATACAATACATCCGGTGGAACATTTGCCATATTTTGAATGCTGTCTCTCTTTTCATTCCTCCTTATGTGGCGTTCTTACAGGAGTGCGCAGGCGAACCTCTCTTCTCCCTCTTCTGCGCCATCAAACAACAGATGGAGAAGGGTCCCATCGACTCCATCACGGGAGAGGCGCGCTACTCTCTGAGCGAGGACAAGCTCATCAGACAGCAGATTGACTACAAGACTCTGGTGAGAAGGCTGTAGTGTAGCCCTTTAAATCGCCTCCAGAACTCTGGGATGGTTACGGGTCGGCAACCGGTTCAAAATAACACTGCACTGGATATAGTTGTTATGGCGGTGTTTGACAAAAAGGGGGCCACTACAGTGCCTCAGCTATGAGACGAAGAGCCTATAGGTGATAGCTATGCAAAAACACAATAATCATGTCATTTGCATGAGGTGGAACAGCAATGGGATTTTGGTCTTCAAAGAAAAAAACAAAAAAAGCATGGCATAAAGATAAAACCATTCTACCTTAGACATGGTTAGGTTTTGATTCATCAGACTGCACACAAAAGTAATAATGAAATACAAAATAAAGTGTAGGAAGCAAGGAGTATTTGTCATTAATACAGAATGTTTTACTATTTAAAGCTGGGGTACAAAAGTCAAAACCTCAAAAACTAGAATGATGTATTAAAATCCATGCACCTAGTTCCTGGTTTTAAAAAGCGTGGTTCTATCACTAGTTTTCAAATTCATATTTTTTTTGCCTCTGTCACATGTCTGGATCAGTTTTATTAGACAGAATAGTAAAAAACGTCAAATAGTGACCTCCAGGGTTCTACAAAAGATAAAAGAATTTCTAATACGATTGATTGATTGTGTATTGCAAGCTCAATGAACATTACATATATATACTGACAATGCAATTCATGTATATATACATTAATTGCATTGTCAGTGGTAGTTTTTTTGCGATAATTAAACATACATTTAATATATATGTGCACATCCACAATCCTGTTTGATGAAAGCAGCATGAAAACAGCCTGTCATTGTCTGATTTGTTCACAACACTACAGCCAATACCCTACTTGAATGAAATACATGCAGCACCAAACTGTAAACTTTATATCTCCCCAAGCGTGACTCGTACTTGTCCTCTCTCCCCGGAGACTGTCCACATAACGGTTTTCACGTACTGTCTCTATGGAAAAGTGATGACCACCTCCAGGAACAACAAATACACATCACATTTTTCAAATCTAAGTTAGGACGTGTGTTTGGACATTTTGTTTTGGTGCATAATTGTTCGTCTCCTGTCAGGTGGTGAACTGCATCCACCCGGAGAACGAGAAGAGCCCGGAGATCCAGGTGAAGGTGCTGAACTGTGACACCATCAGTCAGGTCAAGGAGAAGATCCTGGACGCTATCTACAAGAACGTGCCCCACTCCCATCGACTCAAGGCCTCGGACATGGACCTAGGTAAGAGATTTTGGAAAACATCTTATCCACAGTCAGATGTTTTGAAAGGAAAGTATGTCTTTTGATTATGGGGAAAACGTTAAATGAATAGGACATACAGGTTAGACATTGTCGATAGGGTAAATCCCTAATGTAGCCGGAAACAGATTTTGATTGAATTGTACATTTCCTTTTTACATTTCACTCCAGTGTCCTACATTGTATCATGGATCTATAATAATATCTGGATATTGGATTACTAGCTTATAGCTGTAGCACTGAGCACACGTCATTCATTTGAGCAGGGCGCCATCTTGGATCACCGGGGCTTGCATTGTCTTTGTTCAAAAACTGCTATTATGTTAACACATGAATCAGACTTCATTTACTGCTTATCCTACGTTCCCACCCTCACCCATCATAAACTATAGGTACTGATCTCCACTTTGAAAGGAGCCAGTTGAGGTGGTTTGGCTATTTTCATGTATTTCTTTATTTGATAGGGACAATGCACATTAATGAACATTCAGTGTTAAACTGCAGTTACATATCTGATATTTCTGCCTTTCACCAGTCACTTTACCTGTTGATATTTTACTGTATTATTCATATCCATCTGATAATTCTCCCATTCAAGTCACTTTATCTGTTGATATTATTTCTGATGTTTATTCTGCTCATATTCTCCGCGGCTAATGTATAATATACTACTATACTTAAAGGAATAGTTCACCGTTTGTACATACTGACATATGTTCTTACCTTACCTTAGACTAGTTAATACGTACCTGTCTGGTCTTAGTCCGTGCGCTCTGTCATGCAAACGGAGCAAAAACTGGAGCACAAACGCAGCCTCCTCTGTATATTTTGTAGCACCAAAAGGTAGCTCCCGCTAGAAGCTACCGAACTCTTCCAAGTGTTCCCTATTAAATGTATATAGTTACGTGACAGTCGATTTTCTCAGCGGATAAAACGGGTACTATATTGTGAGGCGTAGTAATCTGAGGTGCGCTACGTCCGCGCACTAACTTCTCTCCGGAGACTTCTCTCTCGCTCACTTCCGTCAATAGAAGCAGCGTGACTTGTAATACACACAGTAGCAGCGAGAGAGAAGTCTCCGGAGAGAAGTTAGTGCGCGGAGAAGTTAGGAGCGCTACGTCCGCGCACTAACTTCTCTCCAGAGACTTCTCTCTCGCTGCTACTGTGTGTATTACAAGTCACGCTGCTTCTATTGACGGAAGTGAGCGAGAGAGAAGTCTCCGGAGAGAAGTTAGTGCGCGGACGTAGCGCACCTCAGATTACTACGCCTCACAATATAGTACCCGTTTTATCCGCTGAGAAAATCGACTGTTACATTTCTGTGTTACTATACTTTGCAGTGTAACACGTCACGTAACTATATACATTTAATAGGGAACACTTGGAAGAGTTCGGTAGCTTCTAGCGGGAGCTACCTTTTGGTGCTACAAAATATACAGAGGAGGCTGCGTTTGTGCTCCAGTTTTTGCTCCGTTTGCATGACAGAGCGCACGGACTAAGACCAGACAGGTATGTATTAACTAGTCTAAGGTAAGGTAAGAACATATGTCAGTATGTACAAACGGTGAACTATTCCTTTAATATATATTAATATACTAATATACTTCCAAACCAAGTGCAATTATAGCCCAGAGTTTATCATTTTATTTTATTCTTATCTTAATTTTATAGTCTATTATCTTTAATAATAGACTATTTGATGTGTTCAATCTGAGTGCTCTTATTTCCTCTCTCTGCTGTAATGTGCGCAACGATGACACTGAAATTTCTCCACTGTGAGACTATGAGTTTACACGGAGACAATGTGGCAGTAAAACGGTATAGTTGGATGTCGGTTTCTACCAACCGTTCATACGAAGACAGTGTTCCAGGGGGGTGAAAACGTAAGTGTTCAGATCCAGCCTGCAGAGTGGGACAACTCAGATATGCTGCACAGCGGGGGCTCTCTTTCACACCCGCGAGAGGCGAAAAGGTGTGAAATCCCCCTCTGCTCTGACCCCCGCCTCCGTGCTGCTCCCATGGATCTATTATATTAACTGGATAGGGTATTACTAGCTTGTAGCTGAATAACCCATGTGCTCGGGGGATTCTTGCGGTACTGCAGACTGAACCAGACTAAATTCACGTGGGCTACCCAGAAATTTTCCCTATAGAACTCAATGCATATTAAAACAGCTCGACCTCACCTGACAGAGAACCTACAGCTTTCATAAAGGTCGGATTTTGTGGGGATTTTAGTGTCCCTTGTCATCCTGAACTTTTTTTCTTCTTAAATCCTTCGGTTTTGTTTAAATCCACACTTTAGTACCACAAACTCTGCTCGTCTGGCTCTCGCTCTAACTCCCGTTCTGATGAACTGCTCTGATTGGTCAGAGCGCGGCCGAGCCCCTCTGTGCACGTGCGTGAGACCCGGTGTGAGACCCACACACGTGTGTTTGGCGCAACGCATTATGGGAGATCATCCACTGCGCAGAACCGGGAGGACCAGACGCTGCCCAAATACAGGCGAGTTTCCCATAGATCTTTGCGAGTTTCCCAAAGTTCGCGCCACTGAGCACAACCATTCATTTGAATAGGGCGCCATCTTGGATCGCCGGGGCTTGGCTGCTCCCCGCACGTAAATTTGGACATGCGCAGTAACGGAGAAAAAACATCAACAATAATGGGGCCGCGCGCACTAACTAGCTACGTGGGCTTCGAGCGCTGCACAGAGAATAATTCTACTCCTTCGTTCGTCCAAACGAGACCACGCGAAGCTCTAGTTTCAGTTTACATTTTCACAGCTGCTGTTAAAATGCAGAATGATGTTGGTGCGTTCTGAGGGTCTGGCACAGGAAGTGAGTATACTGCCGAGAGGGGGGCTGGGCACGGGGCTGGGGGGTCGTGTGAGTGTTGTAAAGTTTCTCTGCCCACTACTGGCCGGGCGCTAGAACTACATCGTTTTTCAACCTCATGTGAACGCTGAGAAATTTGCATTAGGAGCCAGGTCGTTTCTGTTAATAGCCTGGAAACGTCTGCGCAGCGTTTCAGTATAAACAGGGCCTAGTAAAGGTTTATCTTATCTTATCTTAAGATTAGATACTTAAACTTGACTGTTTCAACATAATGAAGTTAGAAACGCATTAGATTTGGGTTTCAGATCTACCGTTACCCAAAGATTTGAAGTTGAAGCATTTTTATAGGTAAAATGCAACCATTTTATGTTATATAAACACATGAAGAACAACAAAATCTGATGGTGGTGGGGGGCATTTCCGATATCACCTGCAGTGACTGTCTTTAAACCCTTAAAAGATAATTATATGTTTAATGCCCTTGGTCATTTAGACCATTTTAGACCCTAATTTAGAGAATTTTTCTTGTACTTTTAATCTTCTGTGGTGGGTCATTTTGAACTGAGGGTAGCACAAGGGTTAAAAGCACCAATGTATTTGATATTATCATGACAGACTACAAATCCGACATGCCTGCTTGCAAGCACAAGAAAGGATAAAGTATGTTGCTCAAGGACCTAACAAATTATATATACTCCTAACTTGCTGTACTTTCAGAATTACTGAAACCAAACACTAAAATCAAATCATGCACATTTGGAATCCCAATCTGCCTATATTGAAAAGCATTGCATCAAAACATGTGTAGCTTTGTCTTTGTTAAGTAAGGCACACCAAGCTTCAAAGTCTAATGATTTCTGAGGGTTCCCGCTGTTCTGTGGAAGCTGTTTGTTTATAATGTCCCCAGAGATGGGACTTCCTGGACGTGTTAGCTCAGACATCCCAGACTGAAACTGACCGAGGCTTGTCAACCTCAGTCTGCGTCACATGATTGATCAGCTGATCGATGAGCGCCTTGTCTTCTTTCTCTCTGTAGATTATTATGTCTTCTTTTAGTACTTCAGTTGCCTTCTCAGTGGATTGTTGTTTGTTGTGATGATTGGTGCAATACATTTCAGTAGAACTCTTGCAGTAGAGTAGCAAATATTTCCCTCTCAAAATACAATATCATTGTGTAGGTGTCTTTTTGATTTTGTATCCATCAAATTGAAGCACTGGGTAAAAAGTGTGGAATGTGACTCCATGCCAAAGCACCCTTATCTGTAATAGCACCAAAGTCTACAACCAAGAAAGTGCTTTGAGGTTGTGAACCACTTTGTTCTTGTTGGAATAGATTGCATTTTCAGCGTTTTATAACTCAGCAGACCTATCCGAGCCAACACAGTCCCTCACCTAGATAGAATGAGAATTACAAAATGGCCGTTCACCTGTGCTAATAAATACCCCCAGCCACTCTGCGCCTCATAAAGGAGCAGCGATTGTAACGTGGGATAAGGTTAATGGCATTGCAGCAGAGCGGTCCCAGGACACGCCGCGCTCCTTACTTGTTATCCCAGGGTTTGTTTTGAATCCCCTGCAGACGTTTGGACAAGATAAAGAGTGTAAAGACAGGAGCTCGCATCTGTTGTGTTCCATACGTCTCAGAGGAGTACAGCAGTCACCTCCAGCCTCTCGCGCTTCGCTTTAGGCTTTCACCACCTCCACAAAGACCGTATCTGTTTGGCTATGCGCAAGTTGATACGTTCGGTCGCTCAGAGTATAGGCAGACGCGTGCAAGGGACACCGCATAGACTTTTCTTGGTCATCTGGCAATGTTGACGTCTTATAGTCAATTCATTTTATTTGTGTATAGCCCTAAATCAACACATTAGCTAGCTTAGTAAGTAAGTAAGTAAGTAACGCGGCACGGTGGCTGAGTGGATAGCACTCTCGCCTCTCAGCAAGAAGGTCCTGGGTTCGAATCCCGGTTGGACCAGGGCCTTTCTGAGTGGAGTTTGCATGTTCTCCCCGTGTCTGCGTAGGTTTCCTCCGGGTGCTCCGGTTTCCCCTACCACTAAAAATATGTACAATAGGTCTGGCATGTGCCTCCTGTACTGGCACCCCCACTCCCAACAATTGTAAACCGCTTTGAGACTCCGATGTGCAGTGAAAAGGCGGTATATAAATAAAGATTAATTAGAGAATTAATTAGTTCAAACTCAAGAAAAAAACATTAGTATTGGTCCATTAGGGGCAGATGACCAATGTCCATAAGTGTTGATAAATGTCCATAAATATCAATGCTCTTGTGGTGTTCCTTCAAGATCATTTCAATCGAGACATAGGTCAAATTGACTTATTTTGAACTTTGAATCTTGTTACAAAATTGGTTATCAAAATGAAGTTATTATTAGAGCCATCCTTATCAATATCAGGAACTTCTGGCACCAACGCGTAACTCCGCTCCTTCTGCCTCTAAGCTTCTGTCTCAGTCCGGTAATAGTTTTACGTCACGCAAGAACTCTCACACATCCTGAGCTGCAGAGTCCCTTTACTTCCCTCGCTTTGTTTACTAGGTCTCACTTCAACAACAACAATACTGCCTAGACATAAGAACAGTCTACTCACATCCCTAACTGTCGCCAAGAAAATAATACTCCAAAACTGGAAAACAAAACACACAATCAACATCAATCATTGGACCAACTCTCTTACTCAATACATAACGTCCTCTCAAATAGCAGCTCGCCATGATGATGACATGACTTCCTTTACATACTCCTGGTCACCATTCATTAGTCATTTTGACATCAACCCCAATAATTTCTCAACATCAATTTAATCCCCAACACCCAACCACAAATTAATATACCAAAGAGACTAAAAGTGCCACTCACATTCTTATAATCCTTCACATATAAACAGATGTACATACACAACTGCACACACATGCACGCATACATACACTCTCGCACACCCTCTCCAAATAGATAAGTTAAAATCAGTTACTATTACTATTTATATATGAATTTAGGATCATTTATTTCCAAATATTTATTTATTTGTTTACTTACTTCCTCACGTCGCTGTTGTTGTTGTTATTGTCATTATTGTTATTATAATTGTTATTATAATTGTTATTATAATTATTATTATAATTATTATTATTTACATTTCCTCTCTCACTTAAATTGGATATCTGAACAAACTATACACATTATATCCAAGATTACAATCAGGTACTGGGAAAGAAGGAAAGAAAAAGAATATATATAACGTTGTGTTTATAAAATAAATGAACAAATCAAATATACATAACATAGAGAACAACAGGGCAGACAAGAAGTGGGCCTGATGTGGGGTATCTCCCACCTCATCGGCCCCACAAATTTCTTGTTTTTTTAATGCACCTCACAGGACTGACAAGAGGACAAGCAGGGCCTGTTGAGTGAGCCGTCTCGCAGCACGCTCTGCTTTTCATTATTATTATGATTTGTTTGTTTGTTTTTGTTAATATTAATTATTGATTTATTATTATTGTCATTTATTCTACTATTATTATTTTTCACCAAAGCCCAGCAAGATAAAATTAGCAATGGGTAATGATTGTGGCAATGACGATGATAATAGTGATAGCGATGATGATGTGTATATATATATATAAAACCCCCTTTTTTTTTTTTTTTTTTTTTTTATTTATTTATTTATTTATTTATTTTTTAGTAAAATATATAGACTCATTTGACCACATTCGACATAGCACCTATGCACCCCTGCATTGCATACACATTCACATACATATACAGAAACTCCGCAAACCAAGGCAGAACTGAAACAATAAAAAACGCAACCCGAATAATTTAAATTTTTTTTTTTTTACTCTCCCCCTCCCCCCCAACCCCTCCCACCTTAACACCTACTGTATTTGTAAATCGTATATATTAGATTTCGAATATAATTTTGTTTTATTTCTTTCTTTTATGTTTTCATTCTTGTAATTGTATTAAAATGTAATAAAGTTAATAAAAAAAAAAAATAAAAAAAATAAAAAAAAAATAGTTTTACGTCACTGTACCACTTTGACATCGCACTCAGAGAAGTTCCCCTTAAATAAGTTTTGGTAATGGCTTTCTTTGCAATCTAACAGACAGGAATTTACAAATTTGGACAAATGCAAACCAAACAAATTCTACACTTCCCTCTGGTAGGGTTGGTCAAACCGATACTTCATACTTTTTTCACCATATATTTTCTACATAAGATATTATTTTAAAACATGAAATGACAAAGTAAAAAGTCTTAACTTCTTATCATTTTTAAAGGACATAAATAATGTTTAAAATAGTGTAATGTTTGTATGTGTAATGTATTAAATGTGTTATTTCCTATCATCTTCTGCAATCAAGAGGTCGATAACATTGAGCAACGCAAGCCAAGACCTCCTCGAAGCAGTAATTCATACAGCAATAAAGGCAAACTTGTTGTTTACATATTGGTCCGGTGGTAAGAAGGTTTTACAAATGTACACTTGTCACACGAGGGACAATACTTTTGCAAAATGACAGTAATAAGCCACAGAGCCGTGTTTGAGTAAGAAAGTTATAAACTTTGTAACTTTGATGGTTAGAGCATCTCTTACCAAACATATTATTTGGATTTCTAGAAATGATGTGGTGATTCCCTCCTGGTCCTGCACTGCACTGTCAGTTATTGAAAGTGGAAAGTTTGTTATGACCCTTTAACTTATTTGTGTCCACACAGGTCCAAAAAACTTGCCGAGCTTTCACACTGTGTCTCCCACATAGTCTCACCATTTAGTCCTGGGCTTAAAAACACGGGCTACAGTATGAATATGCCAAAGATGTAATTTTGTTCTACAGCACAGTTGATTAGACTATACAAAATATTGTTTTGAGGACAAGAAAGATATTCACCTTGCTTCAATAGAGGACTGAACAAGCACAATTGTTCCATCTATATTATGACACTCAACACATGAGACAGCCAAGTGTTTTTTTCTTCGTCACATAGTAGTATTTTCCAATGTTTTGTTCTTGATTTCATCAGTTTTTCTCTAAGCCCTCAACTGGAGACTGCCAGCTAACCTAATTTGCATCTTGATGGAGAACATGTTACCGCTGCAACAAAAACAACAAGCAGATCTCTTGGAAGTTTTTTCTCCCTCTCTTCGTTATTTGCGGTCAATCCTCTGGAGAAGGGCTTCATCATGCACATCTCTGATTGCTGCTTTGTTTGGCTGTTTGTGATCAGAATCAAAGAGGACACTTGTGGCTGGGGCTATAGCGGGAGGTGCTGTGTGCGACCAAACAGCAGATTTCACTTAAGATAATGTTGCTCAGGAAATGGTGCGAAAAGGGGCTGTTATTTGCAAAGATTTGGGATTGGATGATAAAAGAAAGTTTAAAAATGTGAAGTTGCATGAACAGGACCTGCAAGGAAATGGATAAAGGTGCAATGTTACTTTATTTTTAAAGAAGAATGACTCAACTTTAATCTTAAACGTCAAATATGGTCGAAATTTGTGTGTACGTAAAGGAGGAGTATGTAAAAATCTGGCCAAAAGTGGTACTGCACTCTCCAGGATTCAGGTTGCCCGATACAGTATGCAGACAAATCCAGCTGGCACAATAATATCTGAAACAATTGTTTTGTCAACAACAAATCTATAACTAACACCTTTTTCACAAAGTTAGCAATTCTTGTTTTATTCCTTGTTCGGTCATTAATGATTTGAGAATCATAACAAGACATTTTTTAGTTCCACGGCCAGATGATACTTTACCAGTGAGATTAGCTCAACACAGTGAGTTCTGGCAACCCGGATCTCGGACTTTCTGATTGGTAAAACAGTGGGGGGCGGGACATCGAAATGAAAACAATAACAAGATTTAGGGGCTGTAAAACTAATTTTGAACTGCAAATATCTCGGCTGAACTACTGTTAAAGGTAAAAAAGTGTTCAAAAAGAGCATGTTTTGTTAATGCCTTTTGACAGATTAGGGCCATTTCATGACTTTTGTATGACTTGACAAGAAAATCTTACATATTGCTACTTTAAGTGAGAATTGTCTAATGTTTTCCTATGACTTCCTGCAGTGGTGAAAGTGGCAATGACAATAGGGGTCGTTGATGCAAAGGCCTCCTTAATGCAAAATAACATGCATGAATTCCTCTACAACAACTCAAATAAGAAGAAAAAACAGTTATAAGATGTTTTAAAGCTATTTAAAGTAACCCTAACCTTTAACCCCTTGCCTTGTTTTCTGTCTGTAATTTAAAATGGTTGTCATGTTTGTTTCTTCAGAGTGGCGCCAAGGCAGAGGGCAGCGCATGATTCTGCAGGATGAGGACATTACCACTAAAATTGAAGCCGATTGGAAGAGACTGAACATACTTTGCCATTATCAGGTACGACATTCGCTCACATTATGGCTTCATTTTCCTCATACGGTTCCTCTGGTTCACATTCCAAGCAACTTACAGCTGAAGACCTCAATAATGGGGCACAGATGTCTAGGCAGATGTGACAGAAATACCATTACTTTCAATTTTTGACGTAAAATATTATGTTGTATTTTTATGCTTTCATTTATTTTATTTTGTGTATGACGAAGGGTTTGGTATAAACATGATGATGAATGTAATTCTAATGTAGCCATTATTAAGGCTCAAGTTGAAGGACTCAAGAGCAAGTTCAGCGACTAAGTGTGGAGAGACAGAATATTCAAATACTGTATAAGCACTAGATAGACCCACCCATGCTTCGTAATTAGGCTAAATTAGTTAAAACCCTTGATTGACAGGTGGGCTCTCTTTGCCTTGGTTTAACTATTCAAGGGTTTCCAAAATTCTGTAGCCTTATACCCTCAAAATAGGAGTACAATAGACCTGAGACACCAAATAGACTATTAGTAATACATTTAAGTATTCAAATCAAACAACCAGCTCTGTATGTTCGATTTCATGACTTCTTATTTTTGCAGTATAGTTTTATACCCACAAAACAATCTATTCGTGAATTAGTGCTTAAAGCTAAAGTAGGCATTTACAAGATTTGTGAGCATGTGGCTCATAAAATGGGGGGTGGCAAAGTACAGGTCGCCTCCGTGGTGTAGGTTGGACACCTCTTAAGTAAAGCTCTGAGATCTGAAAAAGAACCATTGCTATGGGTAAACATGAATGTTACCTTCTGCAAGTGGTAAATGAAGACAGTCAGTAAAAGGTACATCCTCAAAACAAAGGACAATTCTTACTCAGATAATTTTCCATAGCTGTGTTTGCTAAAAAAAAAATCATCTTTCTATTTTCATCACTAAATGTCTCCACAAAAACAAAGAAGCCACAGAAGCGTCCATATCAGATCTCTGTCCACTGACCAGACCCATTTGCTCCTTTCTCTGCCAGTTTATTCTTGATTCACAAGAGCTTCTTTTGGCCTTAGATCTTCTCTTTAATGTAATTCCACAAATGCCATTCCTACTTTGCTCATTTCATTAAGGGCCATTGTGCTCCTCGTGTGCCCGTTCATTGTGTAAAAGCAATGATCATGGCAGCAGAGAGTCGGGGGAAAGCCACTTCAGCACTGCCAGAACCTATCTGGAATCTGATGCATTTTGGATTCATTGTTGCTCATGGGTAAATGATGTTGTATTTAAATTCCACAGTATATTCCTGCCCATTTAACAGCCAATGGCGCATGTATTTGGAACTAAATAGCAACTAGCATATCAAGGTCTTGTTCATCAGTCCATAATAAATAGATACTAAAATAATAAAATAATAATAATGAATGAATGAATGAATATATATGATAAATGATTGATACATCAATTATTAGATAAAAAAATGAATAAAAGTAGGACTGGAGAACTCGTCTAACTAGTTGAAATTTAGTCCTCAGATTGTGTTTTATAATTAAAGAAATGTACTCATTGTTTTCTTGTTATTTAAAGAATAAATTGGAATGAATACAGGCTGGATTGAGATGGACACCAGTTCTAGAGCCTGTAAAATTGAGTTGACACACATAAAGAAGACTCAAAAAGCAAATGTTGGCTGTCAGTCAAAGGAATTTGTAATCATCTGAAATGTGTGAAAGAAAAAGGGCCATTTGATGGCGATGGCGAAGCAGTTATTGCTTGTGCTTCACAGCAAGAAAGTCCTGGGTCCAATTCCACCTCTAAACACCGCGAACTTCCAACACTGCCTTTCTGTATAGAGTTTGCATGTTCTCCGTATGTCTGCGTAGGTTTCCTCCGAGTGCTCTGGTTTCCCCTACCACTAAAAGCATGCACAATAGTCACCATAAAACCCCTCCCCCGCACCACTCTCGTCCCCTCTCTAGGCCCAGAACTCCACTGAAAAAGATATTCTGAAATCTCAGTGGAACTTTCTTAGTTAAATAAAGGTAAGTAAAAAAGGTAAATACATAATTTGACAGATTACAAAAATAGATTGCACCTTGTCTTGTGTCTTTGAAACAAAACATGACATCATCCCTTCCTTAGAAAATTCAACAATTGATCTGTAGAAGTATCCTAATGAAGAAGGTTTTTAAAATAGTATGAAAGCAGCGAAATGCCTTGACCTAAAACAAGTCTATAGTTCAAGTTTCTCTTGATCTGTTCAGCACCCTGATTTATTGATATAGCTGCATTATGCGGTGGGAGCAGATTGGTTGACTGGATGAAATGATGATGTCGTAGCATTGGACCATAATACACTCACACTCACACACACACATTCATAGAGAAACTGTTTGGCCTTTCCTCCTCACATCCTCCCACGCCACGCGATTGGGATCACTTCAATTAACCCCGCCCTGTCCTCTACCAACAATGCAGCACGGGTCGCCAGATGATGTGGTTTGGGCGCTCAGTGCGTGGGGTGGCCCTATAGTTGCTGTATTAATTGAATCCCGTTCAGGGGGACTGGGGAAAAGGAGAGCTATGTTGGTTAATTAAATATTATACATAGCAATTAAGTATCAAAATAAACACGGATATATTGTGCAAAATGGTTATATAAACATACATACTCACAGATTTTGTATTGCCACTTTGACAGTTTTTTGTGGTATTTGTGGATGAGGTTCTTCCCTCTCTGATGGGGAATTCTTCTTGGCAAAAATTCTTGTACCTTTCTAGGTATTATTAGAAAGGTACAAGATATTAGATAATAGAAATATTATTATATTTTAACCTTTATATTTTCCCAAAGTGGCTTTATTGTTAAATGTTATTATGTTTTAAATACAAAGAACACATTTTTGACAATATATGGCTTTTCACTACCTCTAACCATGAGGGAAAAGCTTTTGAAATCTCTGGCTGGATGTGTAAACAAACGTATATTCCCTAACATTCAAGGCGCTGTTGCACTGACAAACCCCATGTTTAATGCTACCTGTGGTCTTTACCAACTTTCATTATTTCTTACTTACATGTATGGAAGATAATTTAACTTTAAGTACCCACAAGCACAATTCTCATGTGATTGGTTTTATTGAATACAGTGGAGTAAAATGGTAATGAACTTGTTGGCTCTGTTCATAAAATGTTACTTTGATGATCATTTAAAACCCATTTCAGAGTTACAACAAATAGACTATGGGGGCAACTGTAGATTCCGTTAATAATGAGGAAGTATGGGTGGATTTTTGCAGGAATCCCCCCCCCCCCCCCTCCCCCCACACACACGCACACACATCATCTCCACAGAAATAACACTATTGATTCACTCACACACACCAACGATGGAGCCCTGCCCGTTAATTAAGCAGATTACAGACTGTCCACCTGATGTGTTGGGTGGCACGTAGCACTCTCGCTTCTCAGCAATAAGGTCCTGGGTTCAAATCCCGGTCGAAACGGGATTCGTACAAAATATCTGGCATGCACCTCCTGAATGGCTGCCCCGCTCCCATCTCAGTGCAAAACAAATGCCCAAAGCGCTCTGTGACTCTTTGCTTTACTTACTTTAGACTACTTACTATTATCTAGTATTAATTCTGCCTCAGAAGTTTACATGAATTGGAGACTTTTTGCTAAAAAGAATGGTCAGCTTTCAAAACATCAGAGAGGCTAAAGAACCTCATCCACTACAACCACAAGAAACTAAAGGGGCAACGCACACAATTGTAACTTAAAGAACGACTAAACTAACCTGGCAAAAGCCAGATTGATGATTGTGTAGAACTCTAACGCGTTCTCCGCGATATCAATCTGGGATTTCTCCCGGAGAATCCTTTCGGGGAAAGGAGGGGTAAGCAGCAGAATACTTGAAGCTGATTGGGCGAAGTGACGCTGTGTGCCCGCCTACCAAGGTTGCCGTCCAGAAATGTACAAAGCGCCTCTCGCTGTTCATCTTTCAAAAAAGAAATTGGAGATTCTGCTAAAACTGACTTTGCGTCCGTCCTCCTGCGTAGCCATGTTTGTTTTGCTTCGGCCCGGCACTTCTTGCTTTCGTCAAACCCGGATATCCCGCCCTAAACCCCCAGACTGGCGCGTGATTGGCTCGCACACCCAGTGGTTCGACTCGAAAAGTGTAAGCGGGAGCGGTACAAGATGTATTCTCGAGTGTTTGTGAACTCACAAATACCGCGAGAATTCAGCTTGCAGGCAATGTTACGACTAAACACCAAATCAACTTTTTTTAACTCATAAACTGCATAAGTATGTTTATTGTATTGCTGTCTACATATCCTGGTCATTTTTTTGACATTTTAGTTCAAATTAGATAAAATATCACTTTTGAGCCAAAAAACGCTGTGTGGCGCCCTCTCAACCTTTTTGGTGGTACTACATTTGAATTTGGTCCTGGCCTCTCTATTGACTCTGAAGTTCTCTATGACAGCCATTCCCAAACTCAGTAACACCGAGGCCCCCTTAAAAATCTGACGGGTCTGCGTGGCCCCCCAAAATAATAACCAAGAAGACAACATTAAGAATAGGCTCTTCTGGTTATTTTATTTTGGGGAAATAGCCTCTGCTACAAACATTGTAATACAAAAATGATTACAGTGGATTATTCAAGTCAAATAATGAACACAAATATTTTAATATTACAAACAAAACATTATAAATTTAACATTAAATAATTATATTATTTTTTTTATTTTTTTTATGACCTCCCGCGGCCCCCCTGCAGTACCCTCGCGGCCCACCAGGGGGCCGCGGACCCCACTTTGGGAGACACTGCTCTATGACATCAGTTGTTTTGTGTGACGTCAGTCTGTCAGAGCCAGTGATGTGAACCCATTCAACTCTCACACACGCCCCAGCTGCAGTTTGGAGTATTCTGGCGCCATCTAGTGGATTAAAATTAAATTACATGAGTCATTCTGAGATTATTGAGTGTGATTAGGTTCAGGTGTGTAGCTCTACAATTATCTTAGTGTGTAAACAAGGGTGGAATGAGACTTTCTGGTCTGTAAACTATTGCTTTAAGCAGCAATGACAACTGTCTGTTTTTTGTGTGTGTGACAAGTGAGCTGTCAATCACAGCCCAGACCACGCCCAATTCTAAGCCCCCCTTCTTGTCCCTTGGTCCTCCAGGCAACGCCCTTTTTAGAGAAAATTTTCAAATCTTCATGTGGGCGGAGTAAGGCTGGGCACAGGTGTTTAGTCGCTCTTTAAGGAATAATGTGAGTTTTATAAAGTTGTAGGTTATTAGTGTAATAAAAGAAATACAGCTGGAGAAAAGGTTAACGCCATGTCAGATTTCTTTGCACTTGTTAGATGAAAAATGCAGTCTTTAAAAGGTCAATTGCTGCTTTCACAACATATCTGGACTGGGACTGACTACTCTAGGTTCATAGAATATATTGGTAAAACTAACACATACATTATATGTATATATAATTGTTTGTTCCAACATAAAGAAAAAAAATTGTGAATATATTACTGAGAGCTAATTGGCTTAGTGAGGACAGTCCTCTCTTTGTCACTTTTCTGTCTGAAAAAGCTGAAAAAGCTGATCTAAAGATGTGCCAGTGGCTAAAAATACATGTATGAGCAAAATAGTGATAGAAGCACACTGCTTTAGAGACAGGCTCTTGTTGTGGTCTGAAAGTAAGGTACCCCAGCTGTAAGAATACTTCTGCTGATGTTAATACTCCTCTGCTTTCTGTTTCAGGTGCCTGACAACGCGGTGATGGCCTTGGTTCCCAAACAAGTGACAGCATACAACTCGGTGAACAACTCCACAGTCTCCCGGACCTCAGCCAGTAAATACGGTAAGTTCCTTTTTCATGCCTATGCAACAAACACAGAGAAAAAAAGGACTTGTCCGTCATCTCAAACGCTCATCCCCTCATTTTCTTTGCGTATGTTTCATTTGCAAACGTGTGTGCTATCCGCTCCTTGAACCTGGATAAAGCGCGCCAAGCCAGCCTGATCAAAGCACAGCTGCTCCGGACACAAACACTCGAGTAGCATCAAAAGTGGCGGCCCAATTATTAGCATGTCCATGTCTAGGCGCAGCTCACGATGCAATTATAGACCTGAGAGGCACCAGAGTGCAGTGCTCCGGTTTATCCGCCATATCCATACATAACTTCAAATGACTTTTCTGTTCTAGTTTATTCCAATCCAACAGGTGTGGGATGAGGACATGGTAGTTATAGGAGTCAAAATGATGTACTGTTATATTCATACTTAGAAGCCTGGAGTGGATTAAAGCTGGGGTATGTAACTTTCAAACCACAACAAAATATAACCATATTATTAAGTCCTTGTTCCGGTCACTAGTTCCTGGCTATAAAAGCATCTGGTACATTCACTAGTTTTCGCAGCGGCTATGTATTTTTGGCTTCTGTCACATCTTCCAATTAGCTTTTTCAGACAGAAAAGTGGCCATTCTCACTTAATCAGCTCTCACATGGCCTTTTCTTTTCAAAAGATAAACAATAAATAAATATACAAGACGAAGGACGAATGTTGTGGCCTGATGTGTTGACAACATGTTACTTCTATGAGACTGAGTCTGTTGGGGAAAACAACATTGATTATTTATCAAGCAAATTAACTTTCAGAAAGCTGTGTGTTTCACTGGATTATATCATCCACCTGCTTTGACCATATTAAAACAACTTCTTGTCTTGTTGGAATATTTTCTTCTCGTAGCATTACATAGCATCTTCTTTATGTAGCCTCTTCATAGAGCATTGTTGGAGTTCTCAAACTGGAAGTATGGGGTAGTTGAGCCTTTGAACTCTGCCGGTGCACAATGGCAGGCAGGGGGAAGAATGGTGCCATACTGAATCTGATCCAAAACATGAGACAAAGTACAGATCTTAAGACGCTACAATGTGGTGGGTTGAATCAGGAGCAAAAGGGGAGACGGCTGCGTTTGATGTATGAAACCACAAGCAGAAAAACACAGTGAAACGCTACACCTCGCACAGATCGGCCGGAGTACGCGGCTAATTCAACAAGGTCTTTCCAAGATCTCTGTCACGTCACCTTCTTCAACAAATGATCAAAACACTGAACTGCATGTCAAAAAATTCATAATAATCAAACGCCCCTTGGATTTCATCACTGCAGTTAACAATACACAGTACTTTTTCAGCTTTTATTGCCAACTGTTTGTCATTACTTATACTCTGTACTCAGTAACCTGTAATTTTGACGCATATCAGTAAAAAACTGATTATTATTTTACCTCGAAAGCATCTTCTAACGTTCATAATAAACATAACAATTGTACATTTCTCCATTGTAAGATCAATAACGTTTATCTCATCGTATTCAACTCCCGTATTGCATTCACAACTGTGTGCTTAAAATTATATGCAATTTTTTTTGGGGAGGAAGTTGCTTTCTGATAGAAGTGCAAACATTTTTAAAACTTCCCTTTTTATTGATGTAATTATGCCGTATACAAAGCATTTACATACTAGCAAAAGCAACACCTTATTTTTTACATAATTTAGCAGTAGCAGTAGCCTCAATTCCTACAAATTGGCAAATGTGAAAAAGAGAATTGGTTCCATTCTAAATTGATATCACTGGGCTAACCTTATTAGCTCTTTTATATCAATCTCCCGTTTGCCAGGGTCAGAAAGCAGATCCCTGGAGCTCATATCTAATCGTATGATGCTGGTCTGTATTTGATAAGACTAAACCTGATATGTGTGTGCACTGTGTGGTCTCCAGCTGTGCCCGCCTCTGCTCGGATACAATTCTGTCAAATCTTTTTTTCTTACTGGCTCCTCTCCGCAAACCACATCCACTGATCAATTTTGCTCACACTGGGTAAACATTCATTGAGCCGTGTGTTTTCAAATGTCATTGCCACTCTGACCGTTGGGTGGGCCATGCATATTTCATATCTGCCGACACCTGTTCGATTTTGTGTCAGTGCGGATGCCCCTCTGTTCTCTCTGGCCAAAAGAAAACGTGAAAAATTAACAATGTGCTGTCAGCTCTCTGAAAGTTACATATCCACTTTGCCGAAACTTGACTATCAAAATAACAAAATTATACTTTCTCTTTCGAACAGTAGAAAGGTGGTCAGTGCTTTTACATCACAACAGTCCTCTGTTGTCTTTGGATTGGTTTGTACCGCATTTCATTTAATGGGCTTCCCTTTTTTATTGGTAAGTATTTGGTCGACAATGATCAATTGCATTGTCCACTCACTATACAGTCTTTACTGGGAATTCACCATTGACTATTTTATTGATAAAAAACATGCATTTAAAATTATGGTCGAGAAATAGACTTGAAAAAAATATTAAAAAATCTCAAACATTTCAATCAAAGGTTTTTTAAAGCTGAGGAACCTAATTTTCAAACCAAAAATGGAACCATTTCATGAAATACATCCAACTAGATCTTTGCTCTGAACTATTACTGTTTTCCTGATTTTTTCCTTTCCGGAAACCTTTTGGAATCTGCAGATGAGGTGAAATACCTCGGTCACTACATCACCAGTGACCTTTCTGATGACAAGGACATGCACAGGCAGCTGTGTCAGTTATATGGCCAATCAAATATGCTGTTACGTAAGTTTAGTATGTGCTCTCCTGAGGTAAAGGTAACTCTTTTTAAATCTTACTGCTCACCTATGTACACTGCTTACCTTTGGAAGAGTTTTAAAAAGTCCAGTTTGCAGAAACTCACTGTGGCCTATAACAACTCCTTGAGGCTGCTGCTGAAGGTTCCTCGGCACAGCAGCGCAAGTGAGATGTTTGCTTACTGTGGTGTTCGATCTTGTTCTGCATCTCTTCGAAATGTTCAGTTCAGATTTATGTGTCGTCTGAGGAACTCTATTAATGTGATTGTTAAGACTCTCGTCAGCCCCGAGTTCTGCTCACTGCTGTTCACCTCCAAATTATGGACTTACTGGAGGTTATGCCTTTATACTGTTCAGCAGCTGTAATGTTCTCTTTTTGTTTTGTTTTCTTGTATATATTTTTTCTTTGGTTTTTTTAACTATGGACCGTGTTGTATTGTGTCCTTAATAAAGATTAATAATAATAATATCATTTTTGGCCACTGTTGCATTTTTTTTTGGACAAAAAATTGAGAAACAGAGGATCACATTCACTCAAGTGTCAAATAGTGACTTACAGGGGAAGATGAAGACAGTAGTGTGTTGTGGTCAAATAAAAAAAAATACAAAAAAAAAATTAAATAAGGTTTTTTTTGCTCGCAGGGCTTTGTCTCTCCGAAAACCTGGCTTGTGCTTTATTCTGCCATCTGCCATACATAAACATTTGGAAGTTTAGTTTTAAGCTTGTAATCTCCATGATGTTGGGCTGTCGATGAAACTGAATGCATTTGTTGAATTACAGAGAACATGATCAAATACACGGGGAGTCCGGACAGCCTGCGGTCGCGCACACCCATGATCACGCCTGACCTTGAGAGCGGCGTCAAAGTGTGGCACCTGGTCAAGAACCACGAGCACGGGGACCAGAAGGAGGGCGACCGCGGCAGCAAGATGGTGTCCGAGATCTACCTGACACGGCTGCTGGCCACCAAGGTAACTCTACTCTTACGCTTTCATTCAATCATGGCTGCGATCCAAAGGCCACCCTGTAGGGGGCTATTTAGGGGTCACGCCAGGGAGGGCTGTCCCAACGTATAACAGAAGAAAATGCACCCCTCTTTTCTCACATTGCATCATGGAAAGACGTGTCCAGCAACAATTACAAGTGTTGTCAGAGCAAGTGGACATTATGTAAACAATGCATTGCTGTACGGAAAAAGAAGAGAGGGGTTCACAGCTACATGCATTTTTTTAAGAGAAGAGAACAGATAAACCAATGTTGCTATTACGCCCAGCTACACAAGATTCACGCTGGATATGTCACATTGTCTGCATAACGAAACTACAACAATATCCTTGAGCTGAACTCTTTAAGATCTAAACAGATATTGCTGTTTGTGCGCATTGCTGTGACTTAATATTATTAATACACGACTACATGGTTGTGATTTAGGGCCGTACAAAGAATATAATGAATTGAATAAAGCCCCTGAAATACTGCACAGTTGTTCACATTGGCTGCTTACATTAGCTTGACGTGCTTAGAGTGGTTAGTGCTCAGGCCTCATGCCCAGAAGGTTGTGGGTTTGATTCCACTGAGTGCTCCTATTTCCCCCTCCACACAAATATGCACTATCGTTAAAAGTCCTCCAGCTTCGGGCCTCGGGTAAAATGCAGTGGACAATTCTCCCATACAATTGATTTACAATTGGTATAATTGATTGATGAATAAATAAATAAAATCCATCTTGGCTAAAACATGGCTTCAGAAGAGCGTACCTGTATATACGGGACACAAAACTAGCTATGGAGCGTATTCCAAATAAATGGCATTGTATAATGGAGTTGTAATGTCTTGCCCAAGGACACGCCAGTATGTTTACTCAGATCCAAGTCAAAAAAGTAATGTTTTTATGAAGCACATTCATATTTATAATCTTTCCACAATAGAGTCCAAGGACATATATTTGTATATATTTAATTTGTTTTTTCTAAACAACAAGTTTTGCCGCTTTTTTCAATTATTCAGCTCCCCTCAAGTTTATTGTTTACAGCCATGATTCATCCCTCTCGGAGGCTTTTCTTTTCTTTTCTTTACAAGTTTGTGGCTGCATACAAACAAAATAGAGAATAATCTAAGGTGATCCCTAAAAGCTTTGATAACATGGCTCTAAAATGAATGTCTTTGAATGTGAGTACTGGCTGCAAGCGGAAAAGAAAAAAAAAAAGTTAATTTGGTTTGGAGGGGAAATGTGACTTTGATCCTGCAGCTGAATGCAAATGAGTAGGGAACTTGTGAAGGTCCTGGCGTCGCCATTCTTTCATCAAGACGTTTATTTCTAACACAGAGACATAAGGAGAGGCAGAGGGCGGACTGTAATTTGAATGTTCTGACGGCCATTTTTCATACAATTATTTTTTCCATCATATATTTTCCTTTAGTGAAGTTGTTTCTTCTTCATTCTCTATTTGTGTTGTTAGACAAAGCTATAACAAAAATAAAAGGCCTCTGTCTCAGCCAGGGTTTGCATTGTGTGAGTGTAAACATGTATTGATTTGTCAGCAGTTATTATTGAATTCAAAATACGTATCTTTGTCATCATCATTTGAAAAGTACTGAATTTTACTCTTGCCCTTTGGTGGGGAAATTGGCCATCTTCAGAGAAATGGCTCTCTGAATGACAGTAAATAGGACTTACTTAAAAGCTTGTAAAAGTGGGGTTTGCACAATTAATCCTTGCCCATTGTAAAATGCCTGAAACATTATTTTAAAACTTAAATAATCTGTTTTAGCAGCCTTTGGAGTACAAACAAGTGGCTGGACTCTAGATCCTTTAGTTCTGGCCTCCGATGACTACCTATCAAATCACTAATTACTTTTTTGCTTTGAGTTTGGAGTTAAAAAAGAATGTTTTTACTGGTAATGAGAGGGATACATCCTCATTTTCACACAGAAAATAAAATAGAAATTGGTCAATAGCAAAGGGCTTTGGGGAGTGTCACTGGTTACAGTAAGAAACATCGGAATACTCCTTTCTGCACTGACTAAAGCTGTCATACTAAATACCATATGGCTTTCTTCTCATATGTTCACATTCCACATGTGCACATGTCCCTTCTTTCTCCTGCCATTATCCCATTGTGGAGCTCTCCCCACTGCAGTCGTCACACCAGGCCTCCAGATGGATTGTTTTTGTCAAATAACCAGTTTATTTTGGCCAGCCCGTTCTTCTCGGTGAGAAATGATTGTGCAGACAGGCGGCGTAATTGAGTGCGTTTGTTTTTTTCATACCTTACCAATAAATACGACTCCCATGGCAACGGAGCTGACGTGGGACATATTAGCTCCATCAGTGTCAGGACACAGCAGCACGCACAATAGCAGCTATATTCACTCTGCAAGAAAAGATTTACCCAATATTTACTTGGACAGGACGGAATTGGTAAAGCAAGAAATCCAAAATGATCGATTGTGTATATATATATAATATATAAGTATAGTAAGAAATAATAATAATACTGTACATTGTACTTATATAGCGCTTTTTGGACACAAAGTTGCTTTACATTAAAAAAAAAAAAGAAACAAAAAAAAAGCTAGAAATAAAGATTTAATTTTAGGCAGTTTTGAACAGGTGGGTTTTAAAAAGTGATTTGAAGTTCTGTAGTGAGTCTGAGTTCTATTGTGTGGTGGATGTTAGTTACATGTGTGGTTTGATCCTATTTTCATGAGCTATCCACTATGTACAATATCCTTGACACATCAATCAAGCTTAAATAAAACACGATACCATGTACAAAGAAAACCAAATATCAAAATACATATACAATCCACACTCATGTCCCCAAATTCCAAATGGCAACTATCATAGTTTTGTGCAGTGAAACATCAACAACAGACATATCTGCGAGAGCAAATCATTTACCATCAGAGATTAATAATAATGCATTGGTTTTATATTTTGTATATCCAAAATTCCCCTAATGGGATAGAAGAAAAAAATAATTTCATTCTTGGATTCTGTGTCAGTGTAAAAGAGTGACGTGAGTGCTATATGATGGATAGATGGATAGATAAGTGTCAACTACAATGTTAACAACACAGCCTATAACATGTAGTGAAATGACAGGTGGGTTAGTCATTGAACCCAAAGAAAGAATGAGTTATAATGATTCCTAATGTTTATCTTGTACACTTAGGATGTGTCCTTTGTTCAACGATCTCAATAGGCCTGTTTTCTACTGTACTATATATAAAAGCACATTCCCATTACGCACACTTTTCCATCACACTTAGCACCTTTAAGACTCCCGTCCTGCATGATTGCCACGATTGATTGCGGCGATCTCTTCCTTCCGTGGCTTCCCATTTGCAGCCATCACTGAGGGAATTGTTTGCTTTCCCTTGGAGGCAGACAGCTTCCAAAAGGCCCAGATGACACGTCGTGTTTAGAGAGCGCTGTAATGACAGGGTAGTGCGGCGCAGGGTGTGGCGCCTTCAGCAGGGGACGAGTCATACCCGCGGAGATGACAGCCCCATCCCGATGACGAACACATGATATCGGACAGAGGACCTCCACAACACGCTGTTTGACCTTAGAGGCACACGTAGATTTGGAATTGCAATGAGACACATGGTCAGTTTGTGTGTGATATTAAGGTGACTTTGGTAGTGACTTTTTCTATTGCAAGGACCTTTACATTTAATTAGATCTATTATTTATATTAAGTTGCCAAAAGGAACAAGAAGAATATGTGGAAAATAACACACATTTTGTAGTCCCTTGTGCATAATAGTCATGAATAAAAATGATCCCTGGTTCGTACATGTGTCTGGGAATACCACCATGTCAAATGTAATGTATTTTTGTTAAAAGATTAAAGCATTTTGTCATTTGAGACCGAAATATAAACTAAACGAGTTTTTGCTCCAAATTTCAAAAGCAGTCTGAGTAATTTGCCCACAAGACCGATCATCACAGTGAAATGACCCGTTGATGACATCTAACAAAGAGTGAGACGGAAAATATAATTTTTGTGTGTGCAGATAATGTGAGCAAGGGACCTGCTCGGGGTTTACCCTACTACTAAACACTTGCATAATAGCTCCTCTCTCTCTGGGTCCAGGACTCCACTGAAAAAGATATTCTGAAATCTCAGTGGGACTTTCCTAGTTACAAAAAATGAATTAAATTATATATCAATATATCACAATATAAACATACAACATGTGATTAAAAGCGATATCTAAAAACAGCCGAATACATTGGTGGGTCACGACCAACTATTGTCAGGTGGGTTAAGTAACACTGCCCTCAAACAACTCCTCGTATTCAAACTTGTGTTGTCAAATGTAACATGGTGACTTAATATGGCAGTACATATATATGCATGACCACCATTCCAGACAGCGATAAGTGTGTGAAGTGTCACAGATGTGGGCCGTATTAGAATTACAGCCGTGATTGTCACACTAACAGGATTCCCCTCTCTGCCCCGCTCTCACTCAAATTGGATTTTGACTTGCCCGTGCCTGTACACACCTCATCTGCCACACTCAATGGCCCGATTCCCTGATTGGAAAAAAAAAAAGAAGAAAACCTTGTCGTTTCATTTTCAACCCAATGCAACTTCTGGCATTTCCCCGTGCATCCTATCAACCCTGTCGGCGTGCAAGGATTAAACTCTGCACGCTCTTCCTTCTGCTCCTTAAAAGTCGCCAACATTAAATCAAATTAGGGTCAATGGTGCAGTGCAGGAGCTAATCCGGCTGCACAAAGAGGCTTAAGAGATGCGCCTCCTGTTCGCAGATATTATTAAAAGTCAGCTGTGACATAAGCATTTCTTCCATCAAAGCTGCCAGCAGATTTAGGGGTCAGGTCTGCGAGATACAGAAGCAGGCTCTTCTCTATCTCTGTATATATTACATCAAGAAACAGGACAGTTAATATTCCAATTCCACTGCAAAGATTTTTTTTTCAAACTGCTGGTCAAGTCAGATTATTTTCTCCTTTTGCGATGTCATAGCATGTTTCTCCAGATGTTGATGCTCTTTCTCAGGTGCATATTTTGGGTGGTAGGGGAAACCGGAGCGCCTAGAGGAAATTCAGAGACACTGGGAGAAACACAGCTATGTGGTATAAAGTGAATATTTAGTGTGCACCAGTAAATCAAAAGTAGGTGGCCCAACAAATAATGGTTACACACTTTGCATGTGGGAAGTGAAAGCAGCATTGAACGTACATGTGTCAGATTCCTATGGTACCACCAGAAAAATGTGTGGGCAATGCTTTTGTTTTAAAAGGATGAAAGCTGCTGTGTATATTACAGTAGATATTGTAGATGTAAATACAAGCAAACCATAGAGAATTGCTCATGCATAAAACAACATAAAACTTTGGGTAAGCAGCAAAAGGTCAATTGTACAGAATTAAAGTCCTCCTCCTCTGTCTTTCAGGGCACATTACAGAAATTTGTGGATGACTTGTTCGAGACCATCTTTAGCACAGCTCACCGAGGCAGCGCTCTGCCCCTGGCCATCAAGTACATGTTCGACTTCTTGGACGAGCAAGCGGACAAGCACAGCATCCACGACCCCCACGTCCGGCACACATGGAAGAGCAACTGGTGAGCACACAATATACTCACTATAACTACTGCTGCTAGAATACAGAGGAAATGCAGATGGCGTCTTGCAGCTTGGCATGTGTCCTTTAAGAGCTGCTATACCTTCTGAAGATAAATATCCGCCAGTTCCAACGCCTAATATGTCATTCAAACCTGACAACTATAAAGATATCGGTGAGACAACATACACTGAATAACCCGGGCGACTCGCCTTTGAATGTACCCAGGGTGGTAGTCTTTTTGCCAAGGCATTTTGGACATCCAAATATAGGGGTAATTCCTACAGCACTAAAACCAAACTGTTTTAGATCATGTTGCATACATGTGGATGAATGTCATAAAACTACACACTAGTTACACAAGGGATAATACTTTGCATATACTTTGCGTCGCGCCATTGTCTGTTTCATGGCGCGACGATGGCAACTCTGAACCTGGCCCCCTCCATCTGCACTTGCGGACTGCCCTGCCCGACCCGCCTGGGAGCTGCTTCAGTCCTGAACCAGACCTGCCCATGTTCTGCGGCCGCTGCGTGGCCCTGACCCTCGTTCTGTAGCTTAAGTCCTGGATCTATAGCCCGTCCGTCCGTGTGGAGCGGATCCCTCTCTCAATGTGGGTCTCCCCGAGGTTTATCACTTTTCTCCCACTGCGTTTAGAGTTTTTTCTTGCAGATGCAGGAGGGTCTGTTGGACAGTTAGTGTCTAACAAGAAGGACTGTGGTGATGATCCAGAACACTTACATATTCTGCAACATGTATGGACATTTATCAACATTCATGACCATTAGTCTCTCCCTATGGACCACTACATATGTTTTATTTATTTATTTTCTTAGCCGTTGATTCTTTGATCTGTGTTGGGGATTTCAATGATTTTTTTAAGTCCTCTGAGATGACTGCTGTTGAGATTTTGGGCTATACAAGAATCAATTGTAATTGTAAAAGCTAGTATTTTGCAAAGTATTAAACTTTGCAAAATACTTTGCCTTAGGATATATACACAAATAAAAGTGTAATTAAACTTGGTCTATCAATATTATCAATCAAATTAATTAGTAGCACAAACCATTGTTAATGAATATTTTTGGAGAAAACCCAGTTCATTTTAGTTGTAATTAAATTTCCCAAAATATGACACCCTCCACTTAAAAAAGAAGAGCCTATACGCCCCCATAGCGTACAGTAGATATGATTAAAGGCACAATGGGAGTTATCATGGCCTGACTCTGGCATCACCTTGATCCAGTGCCAGGCCTCACCACGGGCCTGTTCCCACTCTAATATCCATTAACCGCAGGGGCGTGTAATCTTCATTAAAACCAACCACAAGGGGCTAATCCAATTGGCTGCTGAGGCTTCCCATCTATTATCACCGATAACTAGGCCAACAAAAATCTCCATAGTGAGAAACGCACACTCGTATATAGTCTGTCCTGTCAGATAATTAATGGCGTCACCTGGAGAGCTCGGTTTCAGCGGTTTGCATGGGTTAAACAAGCAGCAGGGGTCCAGGATATGGGAGAGGACTAATTAAAGGTGAAGGCAGAAAGGTGAGCCCGAAAGAGTCAACCACACATTATTTCCCCATTAAACCTTCACCTCTGAATTTATCACTCAGCCCATGACCCCGGCAGACTGAGAACGCTGAGAGTGGTATCAATCATGGACAACTGTATGCATACAAGCGTACACATGATGCTAAAAGGCTTAATTCAATTTATTCTGGTATAGCCCTAAATCTCTGAGGACTTTACAAAACTGTTGAATTCGCCAACACAGATCAAAGAATCAAACACAAAACACATAGAGCCATTGGTCCGTAAGGGGCAGATGACCAATGTCCATAAATGTTGATAAATGTCCATACATGTTGTTGAATGACGAGTGTCCTGGGTCATCACCTACTGTCCTTAGACCCTCCTGCATCTGTTTGGACTGTAAGAAAAAATGCGTTTTCAGAAAGCTCACAAAACTTTCCCAATACAATAAAAAAATTAAAAAAATAAAAATGTTTGCTTTATTGTTATAATCTACATGGATGTTGACATTTATAGATCATGCAATATGGATATAACATGAATACCTCATGAGTCTGATTTGGGATTTAAACAACAGTTGGCATGCATAGTACTGGTGGCAAGAGTGATGGACACTGGAAAAAAATAACTTAAAAAGCTGAATACAAGGTTAGAAGCATCTTTAAAATTACTTATTTCCGTACTTTGGATGTATGTAAATGTGTATAAGGAAGGTTTCTACCCCATTGTCTGCTAACTGAAGTACACATGATGGGTGAGAAACCTTCCTTTGTTTTTACATTGTGTAAACATTTGACATTAGGTTAACTGAAGCTACATTCTACCATGCCATTTGCAGACTGCGATTAGCTTGGACATTGTATTTAAGGTAATCCTAATTTAAGAAACCACACAAGAAGCTGCTTTAAACAACTTGTTACGACTGCTGCCAGTGTATACAATCATTACTTCCTCCCCTGGTGTGCGCTTTTCCATAACCCCATAATCGCCTCAAAAGACTGCAATTTGGGGAGGGCACAACAGCCCTCATTTGGTCCTGTCCCACAGAGAAAAGAGAAACCCACTCTGTGCCTCCCATGGTGCAGCGCTGTCCCATTAAAGCCACCATCTCACACACCATTAACTTCTCCACATCAGCCCCCCAATGCAGAGGCCTCCTCCACAGCCACACCTGCCTCCAAAGCTGGACAGAAGATTTTTCTGTCCTATCTTTTTTTTGGTTGAAGAAAAAAAGTAAAACCTATTTATCAAAAATACTCTAAAGTAGGATGTTAAAAGTAAAAGGGCTGGATTTTTGGAGGGTATCTGGGCTACATAAATCCACATTTCTTCTATGCTTTTAATAACACACATTTGATAGATTAAAAGCTTGAGATAGGAGTAAACTATTCTTTGTGGGATGGGCTGTGGTCTGGATCAGCATGTGTGAAGGGCCTACTTCCTGTGCTGTATCCATGGAGACCGTGCCAACCTGCGTTTCCTGTAAAGTTAATTTAAAAAAAATGTAAAGATACTCTTCAGGTTTATTTTAACAACAAATCAAGATTACAGGTTTATAAAGTAGTTCAAAAGCCTGATATGAGACCATAAATGAATTAGTTCTGATGAAACACAAACTGTCTCTAGATGATATGATTTGCTACTGATGTGTGATTGTGTGCTGGTGTGCTGCTCCTCTGCTGGCTTCCTCCATTACTTACAGTATATTCTAGAAATTACATATTTATTCTAAATTGCTGAGAGTGATTAGAGATAAGACATTTATAACACATCACAGTAGTCTATAGTGGAGCAGCTACACTGCTGCTGTTCTCTCCCAGATGCGCTCCTGAAGGCCTTCTTCAGTCCGTGCACTGGAGACAGAGCTGTGTGCATGTGCTGCCTGTGTCTCAGAGTGACTGGCCCGAGAGCAGCTCCAGATGGTATCTGTTGGATAAGAAGCATCATGGAAATGCCTCTGCTCATCCGCTCTTCATTCCTCGCTTTTTCAATTTGTTTGTAAATGATCAAACACTCATTTAATTATACACTGGAAATCACATCACCATTTCACTTATTTTGAGTTTATTCACCCAATGTAGGCAAATTTGTTTCCCCTCTGAAAAGCTCTAAGAGGGTTCGAGGTTGGATTTCTTGGAATATTTATGGTAGCGGCTGTGTGCATCATTTACCTTCTGCACGTGTCCTGTTGAAGTATGTTGTTTTATGAGCGAGAGTGTCGTGGCCCCAGGACAATACAGGTGTATGTTAACCCAGACCATTCAAACATTTGGAGCCTTTAAACTATATTATCAATAGAGGATTATTTGAATCAGAAACAGACTTACAAGAAATGTTTGTGGGAAGCAACAAGTCATGTATAAATTTTTTGCCAAAAGGGTTATAGCTGGGGTACCCAACCTTCGTAGCGTGTGAGTGTGTTTACGTAACTAGTTCCTCGCTCTAGAACAGTTTAGTTCTCACAGGCATGTATTCTGGCCTCTGATTAGTGAAAATGAGAGGACCACCCGTACCAGCCAATCTGCTGGATGAGCCTCACAGCTAAAAAAGTCAATCTGTGACATGAAAACAAAAGAGTTGGGCCCAATTTGAACATGCCGTTTTGAAGATTTGGTGACACCATTTCACATACAGTTGCATAATACACACTACTACTAGCACATTATGGTCATCCTCCTCTGTTGTGTGCAATCAGCAGCACAACGTCCCATGTCTGCGTCACCTTCACAGAGCGCTCTGCAGCTTGAGAAAGGTCATCACGGTCAGTGCCGGCCAGTGCCACTGTGCCTTCAAAGCCCTGCCCCAGATCACAACAGCAGTGACCTCGTGTCCACCGAGCAACTTCATCAGGCTTTGTGCTGAAGGCAACACAGCGGCACACAATGGCACATTCTGCAGCTTATTGGCTCAAACGTCAAGCTGCGCACGAGGTGTACAAGCCACTAAAGAGCTCCAGGCGGACTTGCTTTGCTGGAAAATGTGCTTGGGAGTCCTTTTTGTTGTTTGCTTTTGCTGCTCAGATGCCAGAGCTTGATAAAGGGGCAGGTTTGATAAGTTTCTTCTTAATGGAGAAAAAAAAGCATACTTTTGCGCCATCTACAGGTGAAAATTAATGCAAAAATCAGAATATTGTTCAAAAGTTAATTTATTTCTATAATTATACCTTACGTGAGTTAATGTGAGTTAATTCAATCACATACAATGTGACATATGCCAAAGCCTTTGTTTGTTTGAACTTTTCATGAATATCCATCCATAAAATGTTTTTACAAGCTGTGAGGCTTTTTATATCTCACTTTGCATCGGTCTATTATATATACGTTGACACATAAGAATTACAGAAGTAATTTGAACAATATGATTTGTGTTATCAATCAATAAATCAAAATGTTAATTTAAAAACCTGTAACACTCAATTTCAGGCACAGTTTTGAAGTGGTTGGATGAAGCAAACGCTGAGTCAATTTGGAACAAAAACATAAAAAATGAGATCCATTAAAAGGCCTGAAACTGACAAACAGCTTATTATGACATCACTATCATTGGATGACAAATAATAGTGACGCTGTGCTATCTTTTAAGAGAATGTAGAAGATTTATTATCAGTACAATCAGTCAATAGCGCTGTCATTTCAAACCTACACATTGTGAAGACAAGGAGTTATAGTTGGCGGCATGGTAGCTGAGTGGATAGGTTCTGGGTTCGAATCCCGGTTGGAACAGGGTCTTTCTGAGTGGAGTTTGCATGTTCTCCCCGTGACTGTGTAGGTTTCCTCTGGGTACTCCGGTTTCCCCTACCACTAAAAACATGTGCAATAGTTCAGGGTGAATGAGTGTGTGAATGTCGGACAACTAATGGAAATTAGCCCGAGCCTACAATCTGGAGTGATGTGTTCATATTCTGTAATATTTAGCTTAAGTATGAGTGTGTAAAATCATAAATCTACAAAAAACATGGGACAGCAAGGAAGCACCATCTAGGGAGCCGTCTGCACCTGGAGCAGCCTGCAGCCACAGGGGACGACATAACGATCAGGACCTCTGTTGTTTCTCTGCTCTTTGAACAGAGAGTCCTGGGGAGCGATTCCTTTGTGCGTCCCGCTCTGCTGACACTGGTACAGGGCAGTCGGGGCAAATCGCCCCAGCACTGTGCCTGTGCTTTTGATCTCCTAATCGCACGAGATTCTTTGGCAAGATTAATATTTAAATCATAAAGCTCCATGTTCCAAATCCTCTTTTGTCAGATTGCACATGCAACTGGCTTTGTGAGCGGTGGTGTTGGGATAACTGCTTAGTCGGATGATACAGGCAGCGGTTAATAATGAATTTAGGTTTTTTTCCCCCTTCTCATTTTCTGTGACATTATGAGGTTCCTTGAACATGGCACAAATTGTCATGTCAGTTTTTATATTTTTTCCTGTGTCAGGAACATATTGGAAGAATTGTTATGAATTATCCCTGGACATTATTAAATGACTTCTTTAGCTTGTTAATAACACTAAATTCTAGCAAATATATAAATTTTTTTGATTGCTCTAAAAATCTGCATATATATAGGAACTATATATATATATATATATATATATATATATATATAGTGTATGTATATTATATAATATATATATATATAATATACACACACACCATCTGGTTTAAGAGATAAAGGGGTTATTAAATTGAACATGTTAAATGAAGCATAAGAGGAACAGCGGGAGAGAGACTCTGGAGGCGCAAACTAAATGACCCACTAGGTCTTCAGTGACAACAGTGCGAGAGAGTTGGTTCTCTCATAGCATAAGATCTTTTCTCTTGGATCCTTTCTATAACCCTGGTTATACACTATACTTAAATTATATAATGAAATGCATTTAATTAGATAGATATAGATACTTTATTGATCCCCCAGTAGCAGCAGAAAAACATCCATCCATAAAAACAAATAAATAGATAATTATAAAAGTAGCTATCAATAGTGGTATCATTAAACTAGTATTAGTATTAGGCTCGTTTAGATGGAGGCGCTGCATAGCAATTAGGAAAAATGACCTGGCACCTTACTCGAAGTGCACAGCGTCACAACAACAGAAAACGCTGTAGCGTTGTAACGCTGTAGCGGCCATTATAGCGGGCAGTGGAACCTTACACCACAACACATGTGACCCCCAGTCACTTCCTCATAACATCCTCTTCAGGCCTCATAACCCAACATAATTCTGTTTTAACAGAAGCTGCAAAAAAGGAATCTGAAGCTGGAGCTTCACATGGTTTCGTTTGGACAAATTAAGGGGTGGAATGGCTCCTCCGTGTACCGCGTGACGCACATGTAGCATTGGTTCATCTGCTGCCATTGTTGTTTGTTCTCGGCTGCTGAGCATGTTCAAATGTACGTGCGGGGAAGTGGTGAGGTCATTCCCGGCAGATAATTCTCATATTTATATGACACAATAAATATCATGACACAGCCGCTCAGAGCAGCGTACGTGTTCTCTTTCACTGTGGAGGCTGTTTCTCAGCGTTAAACAAGCGTTTACATGAAACACCGTCTTCATGTAAACGAAAGGCCAATCCGATACCCAACTCTACCGTTTTACTGTTGCAGCAGCCTTGTGTAAACAGCATAATAAACAAGTTCCTTTTCAGACAAAAAAATTAAAAACAGAGGGCCATCCTCACTTAGCTGTCAACCTAAAGTGTTAAAAAGGGCTGTCATTTTCTTTGATTTTAAATTTGCAAAAGATAAGATGATGGCCGACATCAGTGCACGACTGATTGTTGTCTTATGGATAGACTCTCCCACCTCAGCTGTAGTTATCTGCAGTTCATCCAGAGTGATCATGGGCCTCTTGGCTGCATCTCTGATCAGTCTTCTCCTTGTTTGAGATGAAAGTTTGGAGGGACGGCCGGGTCTTGGTAGATTTGCAGTGGTCTGATACTCCTTCCATTTCAATATAATTGCTTGCACAGTGCTCCTTGAGATGTGGGAGCTTGGGAAATCTTTTTGTATCCAAATCCGGCTTTAAACTTCTCCACAACAGTATCTCGGACCTGCCTGGTGTGTTCCTTTGTCTTCATGGTTCTCTCTGTGCTTTAAACAGAACCCTGAGACTATCAAAGAGCAGTTGCATTTATACGGAGACTTGATTACACACAGGTGCATTCTACTTATCATCATCAGTCATTTAGGACAACATTGGATCATTCAAAGATCCTCACTGAACTTCTGGAGTGAGTTTGCTGCACTGAAAGTAAAGGGGCCGAATAATATTGCACGCCCCACTTTTCAGTTTTTTATTTGTTAAAAAAGTTTAAATTATCCAACAAATTTCATTCCACTTCACGATTGTGTCCCACTTGTTGTTGATTCATGACAAAAAATTTAAATTTTATATCTTTATGTTTCAGAATCAGAATCAGAATCATTTTTATTGCCACGTAAGTAACAGGAGGTCACAGACTTGGAAATTGCTTTGGCTCAGTGCAACAGTCAAAAAGAGATAATAAAAATAAGAATAAAAAACACTTCTAAAGAATAAATTTAAATTTAAAATAGAGTTACAGTTACTATATACAATATACAAGTGCACATGGTGCACACAATGTAAGGTGACAGCAGTACAGTGAAGTAAAGTGACGTATGATGGACAGTAAAGTGACTTTATAAAGGGCGGGGGGACAGGTTAAGAAGTGTTCAAGAGTCCAACAGCAGAGGGGAAGAAACTGTTCTTGTGGCGGGAGGTTCTACCTGATGGACCGCAGTCTCCTGCCTGAGGGGAGTGGTTGGAATAGTCCATGTGCAGGGTGAGAGGGGTCGGCTGTGATTTGAAGCCTGAAATGTGGCGAAATGTTGAAAGGTTCAAGGGGGTCGAATACTTTTGCAAGGCACTGTATGTCACTTTGAACTTGATTTGGACTCGAGGGTCTGTGACTTATTCTTGTTTGACTCTGTCTGCAGCCTACCTCTGCGTTTCTGGGTGAATGTGATCAAGAACCCCCAGTTCGTCTTCGACATCCACAAGAGCAGCATCACGGACGCCTGCCTGTCCGTGGTGGCCCAGACCTTCATGGACTCCTGCTCCACCTCAGAGCACCGCCTGGGCAAAGACTCGCCCTCCAACAAGCTGCTGTATGCCAAGGACATCCCCAGTTACAAGAGCTGGGTGGAGAGGTAAGTGCAGCCCGCCTCTCTGCCTTTACTTTTAGTCAAAAATAGCATATCTCCAGGGGTTGGAAGTTGCTTTGTTTGGCAAAGATAACGACGATGATTCATTTATACTGGACAGATGTGTCAAACAAATCACAACAGGACAATAAAGGGGTATCAACATTTTTTAAGGATTCGAATGTCAACAAGGTTCACGCATTTACAAGGAGAAGAAGGAAGAAGAAAAGATTATCCTTCCTTCACTAATCTGACTTTCTGAACTCATGATGAAAAAATTCTGTTCTGCCATTTTCTGATTTAAATAACAGGTTCCGGATATTAACTTAAAAATATAGACAGACATTTGGCCAAAAATGTTTAAGGTTATCCACAATCTGCTTGTATGAATGGTGGCCACTGTGGTTTTGTTGCATTGAAAACACTAAGAAGTATCGTCCTTGTAGAACCATTCATATTAGAAAGCAGTGAATGAAAAGGCCCAGAAGTGGTGCTCTACAGCGCAGACAGAGGAAATGGAAGAAGAAAAAAAACATAAGGCATGTAGCAGGCAGTGGAGGCAAGTAATTTGTTAAAATGAGAGTTTTATTAAATTTATTTGTCAGTAGACTAGGCAAAAAGAGCTTGTGAATAAAATATGAGCACAATGAAGCGGTCGGGAGTATTTATACGTGTTTTGGGGAGAGAGGATGGATGGAGGCTGTGTGCATGGCTGAACCAGAGAGCAGCTCCGGGCTCCAGCCGCCGCTCATTACTCCTGCTCTGTCTCTGGTGTGTAAGAAAGAAGAGCGAGGAAATGGTACAACCCTGTCCACTGCCTCTTTCAATGCAACAAGCCACAACGGGATAACGCAGCTCTGTTTTACTCAATAACTGTGACCTGCTCCCTGCTTGGCTATTGTTGGCTAAGGATTATAACAATATAAAATAAATTTCAAGTTTGAATCCTGTCTCATGCTATACTCAGTTCAAAAGGATCCGCACAGGGATTAATTGTAGAAGAAATATACCCATTAGGTTCTATAAGGGCTTTTTTATCACTGTGGCGGGTCAATTTGATAAAGACTGTGGACTGTGTTTATGTGACATCACCGAAAGTGCCAAATTCTCCCTTAGCATCCTGATGGTGTGTTAAAAGTTAGAGTGTCTACTGTATTATGCCAAATGAGGCCAAATCTTATTTGCAAATGTTTTTATGTGTCCACTATCATCTTCAAAAGTACAGTTGCTGATTGTTGCTCTGATTATTTGATGCAAGTGCAGAAAACAAAACGGGGCCAAAGCAGTTCCATCTCTGCACCACAGCTTTTGTGTATGAAGAATTTATAAACCATGGGACAAGACGTCTGAAGTACAATAGTGATTAAAAGGAATCCTGGTGTATTTTGAAGAGTGAATATTCTTTCTGAACCTGTCTGATTTGCATGTGGAGCTTGTAACTGGCCTGTGGCTCTGAGCAGGTGCAGAGACATGTGATTGCTCCGTGAAGGCCAACAACACCTGTTCTAACTCTCAAGCAATGACAAATATTATTCACATTTTAATCTCTACCTGTATATTTATGGGAAAAAATGATAGCTGGAAAAGGCCCTTTAGCTCGCCATCACTCTTTGGACCATCAGTTCCATGCATTGAATGGTAGTTTATAGATAATAAACACTTTTGTAATGGGCTTAAACAACACATAATATCTAAGATATTCTTGTTGAGGTAAGACCCCTCACTATTTTGAATGATATAGCTCCATCCGACCTAATGGCCCTGTAGTGTAATCCATATCAAGTATGTTTCTTAATAAACATTGAAATTAGCCCCTCCCCTTGGACAAGGCCTCACACGTAAGATTTTGGAGGAGAATAGGTAGACCAATGGTGAGGGGCCTCAGGCTCAGGCTGTATCCAGTCAGGATCCTTGGGGACAGGTGCTTTCATTAGATAAATGTTTGTCCCTCTTCACAATTTGAGAAGTATCTGACCTTCACTTGAATTAAATACTTTACATTCTAAAACATGAAATGAAGTAAATATTCTCATATCATGAGTAGGGATGAAATGAATGCATAATGATTGTTCTGTGAGGTTAATAACTGCTGTTTGTGTTGCAGGTACTACTCGGACATCAGTAAGATGCCCGCCATCAGTGACCAGGACATGAACGCCTACCTGGCCGAACAATCACGGATGCACATGAGCGAGTTCAACAGCATGAGCTCTCTCAGTGAGATCTACTCCTACGTGGGAAAGTACACTGAGGAGGTACAGCTACTTCAAATAACCTTCCATCTTTTTAGGTTCAAGCTTTCATTTGATCTAGATTAGAGTCTCATCAGATCTAGATTACGGTCTCTTCTCAATTTATCAGGGCGCCATGCAAGGCCAACTCTGGGTGAGGCTGACCCGTGTGTGTGTGTAACAGATTCTCAACATCAGAGAAAATGGATGTATGACAAATATACCTCCCTGAATTTCCCATTTTCTCTCTCAATACAGAGAGAGTGAGGTAATAATGCTGTGGTTGTAAAAAATATACATAATATGTATATTATAACGTCTCACTGACGTTAAGATTTCATGTCCAGAAGGGGGCCACACAAACCACATGTGTGAAACCACTGCATTAGAATCTGTGGATCATAGTTTTCCACCTGTTATAAAGTACAGCATGTCTATAAAGTGCTAAATAATTATGATAAAATGCAGTACAAGAACAACAATTTGCATGTTTAGAATTTCTTTTTTTGTGTTACTCAAATAGACACATCCATAAATTAGTTTTATATCAACAGTCTATTCAAATCAAAATTCTTTTGTAAAATAAAATGAAAACAAACACGTTTTATTTCACGGATCAAAGTACTGTATGAATCCCCACCGTGGCTCACTCCTCACTAACCTGACTGGAAGGCCCTATGTCTATGGGAATGTTTCAATCTTGAATAGACTAATACAAAAGTATGAGAATGATTAAGCAAATTGGTTGAGACTTAGACCCAATATGTATGTACAATAATTTAAAAGTATTTACTATATAGTACTATAGTACAGTAATTAGCTGGAAATTCAAATAGATATTATATGGTAGAACAGATTTTTTTTTACAGAGGGCTGCATGAGATGGATAAAATGTTGTGGAAGGCCGGGTCAAGAACTTTAACTCAAAATTCCATATTAAAAACATATATAAAAGGTCTGGCATGCACCTCCTGTACTGGAGTGAGAGACAAATGCCCACAATTGTATAGCACTTTGTGACTCTGGTCTGTGAAAGGCGCTATATAAATAAAGATAACTCACTTACTTACTTTTGCGATGTCCACGCTACTTGACGATCATTCAACTTTCTGTATTTCTCAGCTTCGTCTGGTGCAGACTCACATTGTACTCCTTGAACACGGGGCTCTGATCCCTGGTGGCAGTGGAGGCTGAAGTGATGAGGGATGAGTCAGGACATGGGGAGGAGGATGATTGTAGCACGAACTGATTGAATGCAGACTGATTGACAGCACAGTTGTGAATCTGTGCCAGTTGAATTTCATTGCCGCCTGGAGAAGGAAGGACACCAGTCTTCCAGTTTGAACTTATGCTTTAGTATTTTTTCATTTGTTATAATTGAATGGAATTGAATGTATCCTTCTCACCAGAATGTATCAAACAGAGAAGCCTCCCAACAGCTCGTGATGACTTTTGAATGAATTGTAATAACTCAATGTTTTGTGTCATGCGCAGATCGTGTGCGCCCTGGAGCAGGACGACGCGGCACGCAAACAGCGGCTGGCCTTCAAGCTGGAGCAGGTGGTGGCCTTCATGAGCCTGGAGAGCTGAGGACCGCACTTCCCAGGGTGCACTGGGAACGACCCCTCCCTCCTCCGCTCTCCGACAAGCCCCGCCCACAAACCGAGCCGTGCCTGAGCGATTAACAAAAAACCCCGTCCCTGACCCTCTCCGTGCGCGTCACCCCTTTCTCATCACGCGACTTCTTCCATGACGCCTTTTTTGACTTTTTTGCTCCCTCCTCATCCACTGCTGCATAGACTAGTTAAAGATGTGATGGTCCGGAGCTGGCGGAAAGGCCTCTCCCGCATTGCATTGTGGGAGATTACCTCAGCTTCACCACGGGGAGAGCCTCAACAAACGAGTGCGACTTGCTCCAAAAGCCAGCCATATTGGCGCGCTGCAGTCCACTCGCTCTTTGCTGGAAAGAAGTGGAAGAAACCTTTTTTGTTGCCTTGAAGAATTTACAATAGGTAGTTCTTTACAAACCACTATGTTGGCTGTACGTTTTGTTGAGAACTTTTTTTAGGAAATAGTGATAACAAAACATCTTTAGAGTCCTGTTTATTGTAGTTCTATATCGATATAAAAGGAAACAAAAATGTTGACTGCAAGCCAAATGAACACCTCTGAAAAAATGAATGCAACTATGGTTTGCCAAGTTTACACTGTACCTATAAGAGCGAATTATACATATCTGCAGAATCCACGGCGACTTCGGGAGGCAAACCTTTGAATGTTCTTTTCTTTAATGTAGCTGGAGAATTTACAGACTGAAACTTATGGGGCAGAGGTAAAGGATTAGTGCATCTCTACTGAAATGACTGACAAAACCAGAGAATACGCAACCAATTTTGGTCCCGTGAACAAAATCCGCACAACTCAAAAATCCAGTTTATCGCTTCCCTTTTTGGCTCTTTGCAAAAAAAATAAATCAAGATGTTACAAAAGAAGCCCCTGGAGGCCTCCGCTACAAGTTGGAACCTCTGGCAAAAAGCACACAACCAACTTTCGGACAACTCTCTGCTGCTAATTTACGAAAACACAAAGCAGCCTCTGGGCTCTGGCCACTTCCGATCAAAGCACACACACACTTCAACGCACAGGAAACGAGATCTACCCACGAGCTGAAGGGACAACCGAGACGGAAAGCACCGGGTAACCAAACCAATCCATTAGGCAGAAGCTGACTGCTACCAAAACGGGGCTCGACATTGTATCGTAGGAGTAGCACTTGTTTTCCCGGTTGCTCGGACATGAACTTCGACAAAGTCAGTCAGCCAAAAACCAAAGGAGCTTACAATTTTTTTTGGTAAAAAAAAAGAAAAAAAAACCTTTGTGAAGTGCCACTGAGGAACTGATGAAACGGACAAAAGACGTAGAAAGACGAAACCGCTCGTAGGAAAACTGCCGAGTGGGATTTTCGCCAACTGTACCTGACCTCAACGCGCGGGAGAAAGCGCTATCCCTTCCCCTCCCCAGCTCCTGACTCTGAACCCTTTGTTGTTTTGTTTTTGTTTCTGTTTTGCACAAACGTTGAAGACGGTAGCTAGTTTTTTTGCATACAACGAAAAGCCCAACCTTTTTTGAGTGTGTCCCGCAGAGGGCGCTCTTGTATGTATTAGTGTAGTTGTCTTCAGTGGAGGTAGGGGCGGGCTTTTCCAAACAAATTGAATGTTTTACCCTGGGAAATTGCGAAACGCGTGGGATAGTACTGCGGTTATACATGTTTAACCAGAGTCGATGAATAGACGCTAGCCGTTTGCAAGAGCGGACGGATGCTAGCCTGCTAGCGGTGACCCAAGTGCCCCCCCATCCGTACCTATCGACCTCTGCTCTTTCTTTTGCCTTGACAACGTGCCCCATGTGGTGATGTGAATGTGTGAAGACCGCCCTAGGTCCACCGTCGGGTCCTTTTATTGGCTTTTTAAGCGCATGTAAAATGTAAACAATTTAAGAAACTTATTAAAAAAGCTGAAAAATAAGAAAATTTAAGCCTTGCAATGATGACGTGGATGTGTTCTTTTATTTTTATTTTGCTTGGACGATGAGACGAGGGAAACAGTGGGTTGTTCATTAAAGAAAAAGTTTTATCTTTGGTTTGGAGGTGGAATCTTTATCCTGACGGCGCAGTCTGCCCCATTGTTCATGCTTCATGTGACGTGTTAGATACGATATACCCTGTGCATGTGAACCTACTTGGATGGAAATGGAAATGCCTTGCTTAGAAATATTTATTATACTTTATTATCCTACTACTGAAGTCCATTTCAATGCCTTGTCTTGTCGAAATGTCCATTGTCTATATTCCATTCACCGTTTTGAATTTGGGTTATTAGACAAGACACCTTTCAGGTTGTCCATGCTGCTATTTCACACATGCTTTGTCTTTCAAACACAAAATGTGTTTTACACAGTTTGGCAAGTGACTGTTTCTTTGACCTTGCTTCAAATTCATCTCATGCTGTTTTATTGTGTTATTGAGATCAGCTCGATTGGCATTTGTCTGTTATTTTACAGGACAAAAAAATGGGACGAGCCAAGGGAAATGTTAAGGATTGGATGTCACACTGCTCTTAAAAGATGCTTTCACTGTAAAATTCACATGTATAATTTTAGTGCACTTTTCTATGAGTTAGTGTTACCTTCTCTCATTAGGTTTAATTAACTCAAATAGACGTTGTTAAGCAAAATGAATACCCACTCTTTACAGAGGAAACAGCCAAGAGAAAAAAATGAAATCTGACTGAAGTGCTCTCCAAAAGACGTCTGAAAAACAAAAGTAGATATGTTTGAATTGAAGTGGAATAAAATAACCAGACACCCAGTTTAATAATGAGTAATGTTCCTTGGGTAAGCAAAGGTCTAACTTAACATGATAGAGTTATGGCTTGTTCGCAATCATCGGTATGAAAGACCAAACGACCAGAGTTAAAACCAAATCAATATTGTTATTGTTTTGGTTAATAGTTAGAGTCTAGACCTTAGTTTGATACACTTATTCCAAGATTTTAATCAATTGCTCAAATGACTGTACAAGCAAACATAATTATATATTTCAATTATGATTTCCACATGCTGTTAGATGGGGAAATTGATACCTGTTACGTACATGACCAAACTGTTCCGTGTTGTGAAGTTGTGTTGATCATGAATCTGTCCCAGCCCCGTCCCATGTGCTCAGAGCAGAGGTAAAGTTTCCACCTTCAAACTGGTCGTAGTCCTCCTAGCTCAGTGTTCAGAACCACTCTAGACAAACATTTAGCATATTTGAAAGAGAACAGAGTATCTTATGGAGAGATAAAGTGATACCAGGGGGATATAAGGCGAGCTTCTCTAACTTTGTTATAATTAATTGTATACCTGTGTATGTAAATATAATGCATTCCTATTTTGCAGTCGAGAATAAAATACTATTTGTAATATAGAATAAACTTTATTATGAAACCAAGAACTTTCTTTGTGTGTTTTATTTCTTTTTTGGTTGAAAGGGTTGAAGGGGAAAGAATGTAATACTAACTGAAGATGCTTTTCTCATTTGGGTTTACGGCCGCCGAAAAGTGGCCACAAATTATCACCAAAGAGAGTACAGTACCATCAAACTGAAACACTAGATTTATTTAATCTGCCGAGTCTCAAACAGACAAAACATGGGTATTTTTAGAATTGTGTATTGGTTGGGAAGTAATCTGACACTACATAAATTACACATGACACTGAGGACAATATTTAAACATTACATTTATTGTTGCTGCACAGAAATGTGGCAAGGATCACTGCACAATTGCAAAAGGAAAGAGATTATGAGGTAACTAGGAGAGGTGTGAAAAAAGTTGACCCGTAACGAGACGGAGATCGAGAATGAAGCTGCTGCTTGGATAGAACTTCGTCATGATATGAAGCTGATGCGGGCAGAGCCTGACTGCTGCAGGTGAGGATTGGCGTGTGGCGCTGCAGCTGAGCGTGAAGCAACAGTGGGAGGACTTGGAGCACTGGGAGCTTAGTTCTTCCAGTATGAATTTCCACTTTAGCTTCATGTTAATGTTCTGTTGAGTTTTCTATTGGATTGTTTTCAAGTTTTTTTTACATATATATATTTTAATGGGTCCCATAAATGAATAGAATCCAGATTTCAGAACATTTTATTGTGAAATGCCCAAAAAAAAGAGTTTGAAAGGAGTGTATCCAGTCAAGACACACACGAACACAGAAGAGGCCGGACTCCTTCCAAACGCACAGGCCTCGCTTGTCAATTAAATAAAAACAAATTTTCCACTAAAAAACGTCATACCTATTTGACACAAAAAATATAGAAACATGTGCACACTTGCAATACAACCTGCAACAACTGATACAGACGACCTCTCATCGTGACGTTTTGTATTGATTCTGGCATAAGTTTCTTGTGTTCTCAACAAACCAATATATTTTGAATGGGAGGTCATTTTAGTTAGATTTTAATTGCACAAGAATTACCTATTTTTGCTGCCACTAATCAGTAAATAAATGAATTAATTGAAATATATCCATTAAAAAATCAAGGTTACTCCCAGTTGATGCACTGCTATGAGATTGGCTTCTACAAGTTCTAACTCTATAACTTGGACAACATTGTGTAGAACTCTGTGACACCTCATAAACTCCAAAATCCCTGTTGTGGAACTCGACTCAAATACTGTGAGAGTTCAGGTACAAGCAAGGTGACAAACTCGAACATAAATTGAAAAAGCAGAGTGCACTTCACTTTAGGCTGCAGCTGGCACTTTGCAAACACAAGTTTGTTCCAAGTCAGGGCTACGGTTATTTTCCAGTCGTCTGAAAGTCCTTGGTGTTACTTCTGCTGGCCACAAAGTGCAGTGCCTCCGCCAATGTCCTAGAACACAATCAGACTTAATTTAGCGCGTCCACTTTCAAGGCGTATTGCTTAAACCGCTTCAAACCAATCGCCATCCAAGCCCTGCTTTTAAACCGTCCGTACGTGTTTTTAGAATCCAAAGTCGTTCTGAACAGACGCAGGTGCAGATGAGAAGTGTCGGCTGAGGAAATGGGAC